TCGGGAAGGGATCACTGCTTTAGATCGTAGTTTTAAAATTTGTGAATAAGTTTTGTTTCGAATTTTATTTAAAAGTAATATCATCTGTATCCACTTATATTTTGGGGGAGGGAGATTATAAGTGATGAGGAGCAGAGCAGAGTCAACCGAGTATCAACTCTTGGAAACTATTGTGAATAATTCCTAGTAAGATCATCACGATGGGTCAATTAATTATATTTTCATTTCAAGCTCACCTATTATTCCGCACTGGACTCCAGTACCTGGAAAACCAGAAGTACAGTCGGGGCGTTTGTTTTTTATGTTGTGTCACATTTAAGTCATGTTAGTATGATATCAGGAGTATTTTATGTTATCTGACTAGTTTATTTAATCTTTGAAAGAAATAAGTTATTATAGATAGCATAAATATTTTGAAAGTGATAATCACATTTATACTGACATTATAAAGAGGTGAGTCTTTACTCAGACTCATTACCGCTGAGCCTGAATTTATAAAGACCAAATTTGTGGATACTTTGTTTATTAGGAGACGAAAAATAAAAGTTATAATTTAAAAATTAAAATTAAAGGGCGGATTTTAAAAAATCTATAAAAAACAATTAAAGATTTTTGAAAATTTGCCCTTTAAAGGAATGTAAAAAAAATACGAAAATTATTGGAAAACAAGACTTATGAAAGTATTTTTGTACATTCGTCCCTTAAAGGTAAAAAAGGGTTTGAAAATTTGTATGAAATTCTATCAATTTTGGATTTGGAAACTTTAAACTTTGTATTCAAGCGTTTAATGTTAATGCAGTTTTAAGTGTTTTTAGTTTCATGTTAATGAGAGTCTGTCAATCAATCTGTCTGCCTAATCCGAATAAGATGAGGGTCGTGAGATTATCATATTAATACTTGTAATATCTTATAGGTAGAAACTATAAGACAAATGTATCTCTTATAGTAACGATGAAACCGCATTGCTCGTTTAATATTTAAGTAAATAATAATAGCACCTACTTATGTGAAAAGCATAGTGTTTAGCGAACCACAAAATGTTGTACATCTTCACATCTGTTCTATATTCTATTAGTAAACACGGTTGAGCCATCCCTCCCGAATTACCAGTACATTTTGACATACTCCACCCCTCTAACTCAATATATTACTACAGGAGTTACAGGAAATATGAAGAGTAATCAAGGCTCCAATTGTAATGGTGCAAGCGCAAGACGCAGTAGACGCCTGAGGTGCCATCAACCAGGTAACGAGTAGCTGGGGTTAGGGTTGTCAAAATATTGTAAACAGCTCTTATCCCTCTGAGGGGTTGAATTTTCAAAATTCCTTTCTTACAGTTCATTTACACTTGTCTTAAATTTTTGCAAACAGGTTCTTTATATATCTATTTGCAAAATTTTAAGATCCTCAATTTAGCGGTTTCGATTGTGCATTACTGTATGAATCAGTTAGGCAATCAACAACCTCTTATATTTTTTTTATACTTACGTGGTGGTAAACAAGCATACGGTCCGCCTGATGGTAACAATGGGAAAGGAATCGATGCTTATTCTATACCGGGACCACACGGCTCGATTTTTTATTTGTTGAATACTTGTTTGCTATTCTAAATTGATAAAGACTTGTAACATTTTGTATAAATTAGCATTTAGTCTTTTTTATATCCTCATTCATGCGGGCAAAGTTGCGAGACAGGACTAAACTAATAATAATTATTATTATAACTGAGAGCGTTGTTGTGTTTATAGGCAACCCTAATATTATAAACATGTCAGCTAGCCCATGTAATCTCGTTCGAATCGCGGGCACGAATTTCATAAGTGCTCGATCCAGTTAATGGATGAAAACATTAACTCCTTAGGGACCGATGAATTTACCAAGGTGGTTTCGCCCCAAGAAAGCATTTACATATACATAGAACCGGGAATTAACCACAAACTAATCGTGTATGTCAGATCTGTCAGTATGACAAATGTTCTATTTTATTATATACTAACGATCTGCTCCAGTTTTGCATGGATACAAGTTGCTCATATAAACTTTCTGTAAAAAATATGTATATAACATGAACGTAATTTAAAAGAAGTAAACTGAAATAGTATGGCCATTAATGTGTAATTTTATTTAATATTTATTCGGAGTTCAAAAAGTTTACATTTTGGACTAATAGTTTATCACCCTTATTAAAAGAACCTTGTTTATTTAATTTATTATTACATAAAACATAAAAGTAACATAGAAAAAGGAATGGAAATTGACAAAGTTATGTACAAAAGGAGATCTCATTAACTTTGGATATGGTGAGTTCGAATTTTGTTGACATTTACCCCAATTAGTTTGTGTATTATTGTAATTTAAATTTCTGACCAACTGTACGACGAAATAAAATTATCAGGGTAACATTATAAAAGGATTCCACTATGAATGAAAGTTTGATAGTACTTATACATATTTACTAATGAAGTGTGAAAAAATAAGTTGTTTAATTCCAAAATATGTAATGGCTAAACAAAAGCCAAATCCTAAATTAAAATATATATATTTCATTAGGCGACGAAGTTAATTTTTGTTTGTAAAAGTTATATAAGGTTGTAGATTTTCCATTGAACTTTTACGCAATTACGCATTCTAAATTCAAATAATATACCTATGAATTTTTAGTGTTTAGATAAGAAATGTCGCTGTTTATTTTTTAATTTGAAGAGTCCACTGGTACTTGTTTTATTTTGAAAAATAAGTGTATAAATATCTTTTTAATTTCAATGAGCACGAGTGTCTGCAATTAGATACTCCGTAAGTAGACTGGCATGAATAGCAATAATAAAGTTATAAAACATTGGAGAGACCACGGTCACTTCGAGTGCGTCGCAAAAGTTTCCCCGTCGTCTGTCGCAGTTTATTTTCAATTTCACTTTCCGAATACGAATGTGCACGATAACAGTTTCATCAGAATGTATGTAGATATTCTGACGATAAAAAGGAGGCAAAAATTAAGCATATTTGTCATGAAAATATACGAGTTTAAAGTATATTTATTCAATTTTTTTAGCGTAATTTTTTTATACAGATGGGATACCATATATACGTACATAATTCGGTAAGGTATTATGCAAATTAGTTGAAATGTGACAGTGATTTTGGAAAAATTAAGTTGTCTGGGAGCATTCATAGAAGACGCTGCTTTTTGACATATAACAAAACAATGTATGGTGGTATTGATTGCTTTTTATATGTTTACAAAAAAAATCGGCAATGGTATATGCCTATCTTTCAAGGATAGCTTATTATACCCATCTAATTCAAATTTGACTTAATAAACTGATGCAATGAAATGTAAATATATATGCTCTACTGCTCGTGCGAAGCCGGGGCGCGTCGTTAGTTTTTTAATAATCAAAATCTAAGCCAGTCCAAAGATCTAGTGTATACGCCTGTGTTTACTAACGGCTTACTATGAAAAGTACTTAGGTATACAAAATTTCAATTTTATGTACGTGAAATAGGCTCTGAGAAAAAGCTTAACTTGTGATAGATAGTCTAAATCGGATGAGTTTATAAGCATTGCTTTTGTAAAAATACCATAGTACATAATTTATTTCCATTTATGCAAAAATAATTCAGTTCTCAGTAAAAAAAAAACGATTAAAAACAAGTAGGTGTATTTTTAACAAAGACGATTTACAATTTTTTTTTATGTTTGTGAAGTAAGAACATAAATAATGTTTAGTTTAATTATTAAGCGACTTTAACATGAAAGATATTCTCAATTAGTCTAATTCTTTTGTAGCTATGTTAAGCAGTTAATTGATATTGATAATTTTTTGTATCATTAATAGGTTTTACAATTTTATTATATTAGTTCGATAATATGTAGAGGGTTGCAGTAAAAAAAAACATTCTTAAGAATTACAATATATATAATACGTATAGCATATACCATAGTATCTAATACAAGAAAACCATTTGAATAGTAAAATATAAAAAATAATATTCACATATAGATGTGAGCAGACTTAAATTTACATAATAACTACAAAGAAAATTCTATATAAAATGTCTACAAAATTTTTATTATACATTAGGTGTTGTTATAATTAATATTGTTTTTTGTTCAGCCAAATGTACAAGTCGTTGAAATTAATGTACAAAGTAGCTAGACTTTATAAATATTGATAGACAAACAGCTTGAAACATGCATCAGTTGATTATATTATTGACTACCCATTAGGGTAATTGCTTGTTGACTGAAGGACAAACACTGACCCTTTGACGCAGCTGTACTTCAACAAAAACTAATTAGTAATTAATGTTTAGAAATATCTAAGTTATAATTTTTTTGGAGTGTAAATATGATCTATTATATATACATAAATAAATAGTATTACTGTAAACATACAAATAATTTTACACACTCTCCCATACACATACATTCAAATTACACTCTACACACAGGGAGCACATTATTTCACAATTTTCATTATTGCCAATTGTTATAATTAGATAAACTAACTGTATATATAATCAACATTCTATATGTAGCACTAAAATTTTGCTGAACTAATATTATACTATGTAATGAGGGTTGAGCGCTGTTGTCTGAGATACAGGTTTTATAACCTAGTTCAGACACAGATGTTTAAACTGATCCAAATGTACAAATGAATTCGTACCTACTTTTACTTATTATATTTTATATTTGCTTATTATTATTATATTATTATTATTATAAAAATGACAGAGCATTCTATAAAGATATTTATGTATTTTTAATTTTATTCTAATATTGAGTTTCCAGAAAATATAGGTATTTACATAGTGTATTACTTATACATAGTTTGCATCATGTTTTATACATATAAATATCGAAACACATATATAAAATATTATTTAAACGAACCCATTTATTTTGTAACATGTACTTTGACTAATTTGATGAAAAGGTCACCGGGGGGGAGGGGGGTATAGGGTAATTACATTACCTTAAATAGAAAGTAATCTAGGAATATCTATAAATCTTTATTTCTATGTCTTTATAATACCCATATATATTTGACAATGTGATATCGTGTCTTTTTAAGTATTATCATTAAAGAAATGTAAAACATCAGTTGACTAGACTTTATTCATCTTTATTTTAATTATGAAATGACAAAGGAATTAAATTTCATTTGTTTGTTAGTTCTCCAAGGTCAAAGGTTTGATTTAAACAATTACTTAGAGGTTAGACCGGGAGGAATAAGCTCTTTGAAAGGCATTATTTCTATTACAGACAAATGGAAAACTCAGTGTTTAGTAAATTAAATTAGTTAAGTTTGTTTTTGTTTAGGGAAATGCATTTATAATGCAGTATTTTATAACATAAAGGTGGTAAACAAGCATACATACAAAGCATACGATTTAAGAGGTCGTTTTATGGTTTTGAGATGGAATAAGTTTGGATCATATCTGTAATCAGTAATGTAATGTACATCTATAAAAATGTTATAACGTTTACTTCTAACTTATTGTTAAATGATGTTTACAATGTAAGGTTGCAAACTGCGTATTAATAAATTTATATATTGTTTTCTTTTTAATGGTTCATTTCTGTTTGCAAACTGTTATTGTAACTTATAACAAATAAATAAATAAATACGTCTGCTAGTAAACGGTGCCTGTAACCTATGGATGCCTGCAACTCTATGGGTGTCACATGCGCGTTGCTGACCCTGAAGAAACTTCAATATACCGTTTTTGAAGAACCCCATACTGTAGTCTCTAGGGAAAACCTCGGCGGGGAGCTCATTCCACAGCTTGAGCGTTCGCAGGAGAAAATTGTATTACAGTTTATACTACAGAAGGCTAATGAGCCTCGATGTTATTTAAATATGAAGTAATATACAATTATAATAAGAGACACGGACTGTAAGTATTTTTTCATGTCCACCTGAACATTAAGCTAATCAAATACACACACAAATATAGACACTCTATTACTAGGAATTATGTGAGTTAATTTTGAGAAATGGCACCTTCGAATCGGTCTCATTGTATTTCCATTGATTATTACGATCCAGTGACAATTAATTACTATTGGCTGTAGGTGCAAGTATAATGCTGTTTATAGAAATAACAATAATAAGATAAATAAAATATCTAAAAAAAAAAGCTCTTAGTGCCCGCATTGTACGCCGGTTTCTCTCCCTGGGGCCCTGAACCCCGGCCGACTGTGCTTCTGCTTCTGGTTAGCTGCCATCTTCTCTCCTTAAGAGGGGAGATGAGAATGTTTGTAAAATTTAAAAGATAAATAAAATTAACAATTTTCAGTAACTTTCGAAACGCCTGAACAGAACTTTATAAATTGTAATTAAGAACTATATCGAGCATATCAGCGTTCCAACAAAAAAAAAAAAAACGCATCCCTAGTTTGTATTAGCTGCGATGCCACAGACAGACACAAAGACACGTCAAATATATAACACCCCTCTTTTTGCCTTGAGAGTTAAAGAATGAACATGATTGTTTGTATGTTAAGGCACAGTAAGGTAAAAATTAATTAAAGAAAGAATTAATTGTTTTTTTCAAGTAAACTTAAAAATAGGCATTTTTTAATACAATTTTTTTTTGTAATTCTATCGCCGAATTTGTAATACAATTTTAATTGAGAAGAAAACAATTAACAAAGGTATTTAATATATAATTCATTATAATATTAATTAACAATATAAAGTAAATTAAATATATATTTTTTAAATACGAGTATAATTAACTATATTTATTGAGAAAAAAATTATACAAAATCAAGGTTACCCAACCTTGATTTTGGATTTACCAACCTTGTTAGTTAGAATAAATATATAATATATATATATATATATATAATTTCTTATATTAAATGCAATGATCCTTAGACGCTATCCTCCAATTCTCTTTGTATTATTGTTAATGATAAATTAAAAATGAAAAATACATAATAGAGGGGTTGGCTCATTTAGTAATATTTTAGTATTTATTCAAGTTGACATTGTTATAGGGAGAAGAGAGAATTCTCAAAACAGGCTCGGTGCAATTTTTTTCCGCGGGCACAGATGCTCTGAATTGTTCTACGTTTTACGATCAGAAATATTACGCTTTGGAAACGACTGACGTATTTCGATATGAAAAAATATAGTGCCGAGGGCTGCTTTTTGTGATCATCTTAAGTTCGGTAGGTAGTGATCGAGAGGAGAATATGATTATGCAGGTAATAAGTAAGTAATCATTATAACATTATTTTCTAGGAGAGTTATGGGGGCGGGGATAGGCATGACCTGTTTCGATTCGACCTATGTCTTTTCGATGAAATTGTACACTGAACGCTTAATTAAAATTATGTTAACTTTTTCTAATCCGTATATTATGAATATAAATTTAATGTACTTATTCGGTTAATAACCTACCCAAATATATGCTAAATAATAATCTTTTAATTATATTATTAAATAATGAAAGTTTGTGTCCCACAAAATAATCGACTTCAATTGTGATAAAACCAATTATTTTGATTTAAGAACTAATTTTTTTTTAGATTTTGATAAAATTTTCATGGTCATCATCTGTAAGTACATCCTTTGAAATAAAAAAAGAGTTTCCCAAATCGGTTTAGAGCAGACGAAGTCAGAGGTAACAAACATTAAAAATACATCGGAATTGAGAACCTCCTTTTAGAAATCAGTTGAAAATAATGATATTATAACTATTTTAGTTACGATATGTACTATAGATAAACAAATATATTTTCAATTTTTATCAGTCTACTTTGGAAGGTCCAATTTGATATATAAAAGTATAAGGTATTTGCTTAAACAATTGTATATGTAATGACATTAATAATGTTTACATAACATGGGTTACATTTGTGGTTCATAGAGTTTCAAATATTAGAATGCGGTACACGTAATATTTTCAATTGGAATAAGGTTCGGATTTGTTCAAAATTTAATTTGGGTATCATGAATATGTTTTGTTAAATAGATTATGGATACCGAGTAGGGAATATATTATTAATCTTACATGTTTATAAAGTACAAAATCTTATGAAAAATGTTAAACTGAAATAGTGGATTTATATCGGTTTGAAGGATCAGATATGGCAGTGTAATTACAGAGATATAACACCTTAGTCTTCGGGTATGAACGGGTGAAGAGTGTTACTCTGTGATTTCCATAATAAACATTTGAATTCACTTTAGAGCATTTTTTTATGCAACTTAGAATGGCAAATAAGTTGACGGTCCACCTGATGAAAAGCAGTAACCCTCGGCTATAGACATGAACAGTACCACAGACATAAGTATATTGTTACGTCCCTGATACAATCTATGTGTTGCCATTCTTATGGATTTTTCAAATAACAAACAGAAATATTGAAAATTATTCAACTGAGTTAGAACATTGACAGATGGAGTTATAATTTTTAGCTACATATTTTCTAGACTTTTACAGTACTAACCCTATACATAATATAGTTCCAAAAATCCAAATTTCTAAGTCCACAAAGTTTTCCATGGTAAGTGATCGATCGAAGTGGGCGCCCGGGCTCGCCGTATGTCTGCCTGTCTGTCCATTAGTTAGATAGCTTTTCCATCAAGATTAACTTATCTGTTCGCTGACAGCGTCCCCTATTCTGTTTCTCATACCACGTCTCTCTATATATAGCCAATCTTTATCATATTAGACATAAAGGTTAAAATCTATACTAATATGCGGGTACTTCACATATTGAGTATTAATTAATTTGAAATATTGATGTCATATAACACATGAATATAAACATGGTTTCAAATAAATGTCTTAAATTTTTTAGCTTTGATTAGGCTCATCATTTCTCAGTTCACCGCTCAGCATACGTCTCTTTCATATTTCTCCATAAAGTACGGTCTTGTGCTACTTACGGTCAGTGACTTCATGAAAGATTTTTATAGATTTTCACTCCATAACGCGAGTGTCGTTTGTTTATACCGGAACACCTCGAGAGCCTTTCTTTTCTGTACTTTTTCTAATGAATATAAATAGATATACTTGTAGAGTTAGTACATAAAATTTCTAAAATGGTATAAATAAGTAATAAATACACAATGTTAATTATTTTCAAATAAGATAAGTGTGGGAGGAATTTTTGTAACATCACAAAAAGTAGTTTAATAGAGACATGTTTAGTTCTGTTACTGTCCATTGTTTCTGCCTACCCTAATGGGAGACAGGCGTGACAGATATGTATGTATGTATATTGAAAAAAATACTTTTAAGTCGGTACGAAGAAAATTCTCATAGTCCAAGTAGTTTAAGTTTTTTGTCAAATAAGCAATTGACATCGTAAAACTCCTGTCATGCATGTATGTATATAGACATCGTTAGAAATGAACATAAATAAATAAAAAAAAATCATTAATATAATAAAATATTTCCCTTAACCTCTATTGACAATTTACTTGTTTTTTTACACGTAACCAACCTGTTTTCCAAAAAGGAACAAATCAATACTCATGCAATATGAGTTGAAATGACGTAAATATATGAGGTAAAAACATCAAAAAATATTTCTATACGAATCGAAAAGGATTTGGCGTTATCTAATGTTGCCTTATCGACGTTCATAATCGTGAATGACTTCCACGATAATACAAGTATTGATGCGCACACATTGATTATATTTCTATTGGGAACTAAGTGGTTTAGTTTGTACAAGTGTTTGTGTTGGGTTCAGTGTTAAAAAAATGACGGATTGTGAGTATTATTATTTATCACATATTCTACTTCATACCGTATAAATGGTCCCTTTTCAAAACTGTTTTAACTGTAAACTCTAATATGTGATAAAATATATCAAGTTTTCAGTTGGAATAGCGACGTAAAGATTTAATCAGTGTATTTAATGATACAACATTCGCTGATTATATGAAATATTTCTGTAATGCATAGCAGTGAAGCAGTTGTTTTTGCATGGCTGTGTTTCGGTTTGAAGGGTGGGATATGGCGTGAATTTACTGGGTATAGAAGATTAACATCTGAGTCCTCAGGAATGGCAACGCATGGGGGGTATCATGGGCGAAATAGTATACTCTGTTATGTCCATGGTACAGCTCATGTCTATAGGCGACGGTTACCACTTTCCATCAGGTGGGCCGTCAGCTTGTTTGCCATTCTAAGTTCTATAAAAAAAAATTGTACATAATAGGATGGAATCTCACTATTGAAAAATTACATTTATAGTTACTATAGGCCATACAATATTCGATTCAGTATTAATATTAAATGGTAGTTTAAAAATAAATGATTCATGTATGAAATTATAATCAGATTTTTTTGTTGAACTATCGTATATCATAGTGTACCATAAATGAAAATTCAGATTATGGATGTATTATAATTATTTGTATTGGATTTACTAACTGGATTTAATTTTTAGATTATTTGAATAGTTTTTGATTCGATAGAACCTCATTTATGAATATGGTCATACGAGTAAGGACTATATATATATATATATATATATATATATATATATATATATATATATATATATATATATATATATATATATATATATATATATATATATATTTTATTCAACTTAGAATGGCAAACAACTGTTTCGCCCATGAATCCCTCCCATGCGATGCCATTCCTGAGGATTTTTATTCCTCTGTACCCAGTAAATTCACGCCATATCCCACCCTTCAAACCGAAACACAGTCATGCAAATAACTGCGTCACGGTAGAAACACGAATGGGACAGAGGTACCCAAGCAATCGTCTTTTGTACAGTCTCCCTCTGGCGTGTGCATGTGTGTCAAGAAATATCCTAGTTTTAAAAATAATACCTATTCATTTATCTTCGTTTTGATAGCAGTATCATTTAATTGGCAACGAGTAAATACAGAATGTGTATTGAATTCTACTGTTATTTTAATATAGCTTTTAATAATATTCATGTATTATTAGTATATGACATTGTTATACCCAACAAAAAGTAAACTTTTTTTAAATGAGTGAAGATGAAATAGTAACCCCGCATGCGGTATCGGTATACGCTGGAGGGGAACCCGTGAAGGATGACAAGTGAGGATGAAGGCAGGTCAGTTGGCTCATAGTGACCAATTGAACAAGAATTAATCACTATGGTTTCTATGGGGAACCGCGTGGAAGTCGGCCTGATAGGGTGTATTGCTAGCAATGGGCCTGTTAAACCTCATTATTAACAATCTCTTCCCCCTCCCAAAAGTAAACGTTATTGTTTTACTAAAATTGTTTCTATATCTGGTTGTCTAACTAGTTTTTTTATTTAAACAAGTTTTTTAGAACGCTCGTTAGAGTATGTTAGGTTGCGCTGGAAGTTTTCTTCTAGACTAGTATCCATTAAAATTTTTTATAATTTGTAAAATTCAATTTTTATTTTAAAATAGTAACAGCTGCTTTTTTGACTCATTCTTCTCAGCTGAAATTGCAGTCTGAACTGGGTGGTACATTCATAAAAAAATATCACTAAAAATGCATATAATCAAGTTTACTCGATTAAAAATTATTCTTATTTATATTTAATCTTTTTCAGCTACAGTTGTGTTTGTAAATTCCGGACAGCCGCCCCCTCCATATATTGCTCAGCCCGTGGCGCCTCCCGTCGCAGTGGTAATGACTGGGCCAGTGGGCTCAGAGCCTATAATCATGGCCTGCCCCTCGTGCCGTCACCAGATCGCAACGAGAGTTGAAAGAGCAGCATCATCAAAAACTCATATCATAGCTTGCTTATTGTGTTTATTTGTGTAAGTATACAAATTAGTAATAAATAGGTAGTTTTTTTAGAATAATATATAATATATCTATATCTGAAATTATCTGTTTTTATTCATTATGATAGATGTCATTACTGTGTGGTCCCGGTATTAAAAAGGTTGTAAGAGACGATTAAGGGAGATCGAGGGATAGGTAGCAGCATTCCTCTTAAAATCAAACTGCGGTTGCTAACCCACCTGCTAAGCACGGCAACTAGTGGAAAACTCCCCCTTATGCAATGCTTTTTTTTATACAACTTAGAATGGCAAACAAGCTGACGGTCCGCCTGATGGAAAGTGATAACCGTCGCCTATAGATATGAGCAGTACCATGGACATAATAGAGTATACTGTTTCGCCCATGATACCCCCCATGCGTTGCCATTCCGGAGGACACAGGTGTTATTTCTCTGTACCCAGTAAATTCACGCCATATCCCACCCTTCAAACCGAAACACAGCTATGCAAACACAACTGCTTCACGGTTGAAACACGAATGGGACAGAAGTACTCCAGCAATCGACTTTTGTACAAAGTCTCCCTCTGTCCAGCAGTGGACAGTTAACAGCTGACAAAGTACAATATAGAAGAGAAATTCGAAATAAAATTTGATATAAAGCGGCCTAATTTTTAGTATGGTGATATTGGCCTATATCATTCGCTTATTGGGAGACGCACATGCCTGTTAATGGAACACTAATGGATTATGACATTAGGCACACTTATTATGACATAATATTGTTGTGTAATCTATTATTTTTTAATGGATGATAATGGAATGGTAACCTTGCTCGTGTTGACGGTATACGTAGGCGGGGGATCAGTGACAGATGATAGGTGAGAATGAAAGGACAGGTCAGTTAGCCCATCGTGATGAATACACCTGGATTTAGCACAATAGTTTTCAGGGGGGACCATATGAAGGTCGACCTGACATATATACTATAATATACCCATATTAGTAGCAATGGGACTGGTATTGTGTAATCTATTAGTAATGAAAAATGTTTAATAAAGGATTTTATTGTAATTAAATACTATTAAATATTTAATTATTATTATTACAATTAATTAAGTGTGTCGTGAACTATTCGGATTTTGTAACCCAGATGGTTATGAGTTACATTCTGACTAGTAACACAAAAAGATTTTGCGCTTGAGAGCCAATTTCAGTTTCTGACTATCTCTCCGGCGATTAGAAATGCACCGTTAAGAATTAAATTTTATTCAAAATCTATTTTAATTAATGACATAATAATATATATTTTTTCAGATGCTGGCCATGCGTTTGTGTACCATACTGTGTGGATTCGTGCAACAATGCCAATCATTACTGCCCTAACTGTAACGCGTATATAGGCAGTTATAATTTTTAATTACCTACATGAATGACTGTAAAATCCACATTCAATTATTTTATTCAGTTACATGATGTATTTTTTTTTTAATTATCATTTGAAATTTTGACAATGATTTATTATATTTATATTACGGTTTATTTTCTTTTGTTTTAATAATGTAAATGATAATTTTAATTATCATAATATTTATACAGTAATAGTATTATTATGACATGCTCAGTAACCTTAAATAACTTAAAATTTTGTAAATTAATATATCCCTTGTATAATTTTGTAATAATGTTTGATATATTCTTGTTATCCCATGTGGTCTCGGCATAGAATAGGCCACCCCTTTCTTTCCCTTTGTCGTAAGAAGCGACTAAGTGAGGACGAGAGATGGGCAGCAGCGTCCCTCTTAAATCATCTCCAAAGCTTAACTGCGGTTGTCTATCTGCCTGCCAAGCGTGGCAACTATTGTCAAAACTCCCCTAAAGGGAGTTTTATGTTCAGTAGTGGACAGTTAAAAGCTGATACACAATTTTTCCAAAAATTACAATAATGTCTTGTAATGTATCTGAATACACAAATTTTATAGTATGATGAGGTATTCTAAGAATTATATGTCAATACATATATGTATGTCATAATTTGATTAGACAAGTGATGTGATATTATTTAAAATATCTTTACTCAGTTCTATTGTTACTGTAAATGTTTTTTTTTTTATTAATATTTATAAAAGCGACTAGTTTCTCATGTTATTATGTATATATTGCCTGAATAAAATATTTTGTAATAAAAAACAATGGAATACGGTATAAGAATTTTAAGTAATATCAATTAAACTATTTAATAATAATGAAATAATGATAATGAATAATGATAATAATGATAATGAATACAGATAAAGAATAGTTGCAAGACTGTCAAGTTATGGATTAGAGTTATAGCTGGTTTAATAGTTAAATTTATTAAAAAAAAAATTTCATACTAATAGAATGTGTTGATATAAGTATATAAATAAAATACTTAAGTTTGTTATTAGAATAATTACCTAATGAGATTTTATATGTTTTATAAAATTTTATTGTTGTTTTTTTTATTACTATATACAATTATCTACTATATAATTATATATGTTGGCAGCAGGATTCCGTTTACTCCCGTATTTTTAGAGGAATCTTTGCAGATCTAAGTTATAGAGTCTCCTACTAGGAGATCCTATGCAAAATTTAATACATGTCAATCTTCTTGGAGTGTTGTCTATAAGTTTGTGCTGATAGAGGCTATGTATATGTTGATGATTGATAAGTTAATCACATCAGTAATATTATTTATTATTTTTTTATACATTAAACTTTTTTGGGATTATCCAAGGATTTCTTTATTTTATTATTAATTATGAGTGTTGCCAATATATGTAGGTTATTAACTCAACAGCCTTATATTATTATGTCCCTCTTTCTTATAAAATAAAAGATATTTATGTATATAATAGAGTTTTTTCTATAAATCTAGTAAGAAAATTAGCTTGAACATAGTAATGTTAATTAGGAAACGCGCAACGGTTCATTATTAAGCCGACTTTTGTTTTTGTTGATTTCGTTTCATAAAATATTTTATACCACAAAGTAAAAAAATAAGTGTGGGGCCAATACAGGTGTACACACTATCGATTGTAAAAAGAATAATCGACATCGGTTCAATATTAGGCCACATACTTAAAGTGGATTAGAATATTTTCCACTGAGATGCTCTAATTAATGTAAACTGCCAATTTATTATAGCATTTTAGCAGTAGTAGTGACATCTAGTTGATAATTAAACCAAAGCCAAGTAAAAAATAAAACAATATGCTTACGAGTATAAAAATCTTATAGGTATTTGACTGTTACTTAATACATTTATTTTCTACCGACTTCAAAAATAAGGAGCTGTCAGCTCTAAACTGATTTGGAAATTTATTTTATTTATCTAAAAGGATATACGTATGTAGATTGTAAAGAAATTTTATCAAATTTGCTTCAGTAGTTTAGTTTTGAAATCAAAATAAATGGTTTTGCTACAATTGAAATAGTTTTTTTTTTTGTAGAATACAATCTTTAATTATTATGTTAACAAATTTCATTGATTTTTTTTTATTCCGTACTATGTATTTTTTTTATTATTTAATATATGTATATGTACTATGAAAGAAAATCACGTAGAGTGATTTTAAACATTTATGACTAAAATACTTCCTAAAAAATTTTTTTTAAAAACACAAAAATGAAGTTTTCGCTTCTAACGTGTAGTCTTACAACTGATTTTGTTTTCTATGAAACTTGGAACGGCAAATAAATTAACGGTCTATTTATTGGTAACCGCCATACAGCGTATGTATATAACAAGTACATCATAGAACATCATTATGATGCCCATAGCTATCAACGAGTATTTTCCATCTTAAAAAGTGCCTCTAAACTTCTAAACTAAAATGTAGAAGATACCTCTGTCCCATTCGTGAACAAAATGATGTTTCGGTTTGATGGGATATGGCAATGAATTTACAGGGTACAGAGGAATAACATCTGAGTCCTCAGGAATGGTAACGCATGATTTATAAACTTGTTATGTCCATGATATAACACTTTTCATCAGGTGGGCCGTCAGCTTGTTTGCTATCCTAAGTTGTATAAAAAAAATATAAAATAAAAAAAGAAAATAATGTTGAGAAGTAACAAACAAACAAACTCACTTGCACATTTATAACATTAGTATTGATAAACATACGTTAAATAGCCGGAGCAATAAACAGGGAGAGGGGAATACATTGCTATATTTATACAATATTAAAATCTATGTTACCATTTTAAACAACTGTTTGTATTTTTCAGTCATCTAGTTATGCAATATTCGATATAAAAAGCATATATATACACGTCTATGGTACTGCTCATGTCTAAATGTGACGGTTATTACTTTTTATCAGGTAAGCCGTCAGCTTGTTTGCCATTCTAAGTTGCATAAATAAAATACTATAAAATAAAATATTTAAGAGAAAAAGAAAAAAAAAAAACTTCAGAGTAATAACAAGAGATGGATGAAGTGGTCTCATCAGTCGCTTTGTTGTGTATTTTGCATTGTTCCATGATCTGTAGGTAGCAGATTCTACTTGTCATGAGATAGTCCATAAGCGATTTTTTATTTACGGTAATATAAAAAAAAAAATTGCAAGAGGTTGTTAATTTTATCTCATATCTATATAATTAGATATGACTATATAGTAAAATATAGATTCATGTTATACTGAAATGTGTTTATCAGATTGTTCATTTTGGCGATATAATATTATGGTTTATCAGTTCTGCAAACCTTATCATGGGGATATTTTGTTCTTATCTTATTTATAACAAAAATGAATAAAACAGGGCAATTCATAAATATTGTGGCAGTAATCAATGAAGAACTTGATCGACTAGAATTATTGTAATAGTTAGGAAATTTTTTATTAGTGCCGAAATGAATCCTGAAACAAACGGTAAGTTAGTTTTTTTATTATTATTATTTCGTTGACTGTCCACTGCTGAACATAAGTCATTCCCATAAGGGAAGTTTTGCCAGTAGTTGCCACTCTTGACAGGCGGGTTAGCAACCGCAGTTAAGCTTTTAGAGATGTTTTAAGAGGGACGCTGCTGTCCACCCCTCACCCTCCCTTAGTCGCTTCTTACGACACACACTGGAAAGGAAGGGGTGGCCCATTCTATGTTGAGGCACACACGGTGGTAAGCTAGTGACTGTGATAAATACTAGAATAAAAAAATAGCAATAACAAAAGTTATTGCTATTTATTTATTATTATGATTAATTTATAGTATGATGTAATTTCTAATTTAAGTAAATGTGTATATATTAAATAATAAATTAATGAAGTACTTGTAAATTAGCGTTTACCATTGTTGTCTTAAAAGTGTCATAAAAACGAAACCATTTAATCAATATTCCAGCAAAAGCAGAAGAAATGAGTTCACAAGATGTACCAATGTCTGCCCCGCCTGCGTATCCTGGGCCTCCTGTGTGGCCACCGTCACCAGGAAACCCCCAGCCTGTTGCCGCGATAGTTACAGTGAATCAACCTGTGGTAGCTCCGCCCATCGCAGTTCAAGTTCGGCCAACAAATGGGCAATAAACCCTCGAGAATAATCTGTAGGATGTGTAATCAAGAAATGGTTACCAGAATTGAAACAAACGCTTCATTGAAGACTCATTTGTTTGCTCTTCTTTTATGTGGTTTAGGGTAAGTATTTTATATAGGTTAGGCACGTATTTATATCATAAATGTGAAAGTGAGTTTGTTTGTTACCCTTTTGCCAAGATTTTAACGACTCAATCAGCCTGAAATTAGGTATATATGAAGTATTTGGGATAGAGGTAAACATAGACCACTTTTATCACTTTTAATATATATAAGTTACAAACTTTCGTATTTATTACATTTTATTGTATTCAAATAATAAATTACAATAAATAAGCCGAAATATAATGTGGTAATTACATTAGTAGTATTCAAATAATAAATTACAACAAATAAGCCGAACTATAATGTGGTAATTGTTGGTTATAGACATGAACAGCACCATGTTACATAATATATTGTAGCGTCCAGGATACGTCTTATACGTTGCTATTTCTGAGGATTACGGTGTCTCTACACTCAAAAATTTCATTGCCACGTTTCAAATCGATACAAAGATATTCACGCACAATGGTGGTAGAAATATTAGTAAAAAATAGGTACTAACGTTGATAGTTTTGTACTGCTTTTATTTAAAATTGATCATGAAATTGGATGAAATACGGGATATATGTAAGGACAGAGACCTTTGCCACTTGGTTCTTTCTGAATAAAAATATTTTATTGCCTTATTATTTTAATTGCTGAAGCTGAGATACTCTATGTTATGCGAAACTAGACAATGAACCCAGTACATTAAGAGCTAATTAATTAGAACAATTATAAATATTGATTTAACTGAGAATTGAACCTAGAATTCCATTTATGGAAAACAACATGCTAACTACTATGTCATGGAGGTCATGAGTATTCATAATATTGTTTTATTATTATAAATTTTATATACCATTACATCAGCCGTTAAGTCATATGCACAACGGCCCAAATGAGAGGCTAAGCGTGGAAAAGAGTCTAACTACAGTATATTACATCAGCTGTTAAGTGTCCAATATGGAACATAGGTTCCACATAAACTGCCTTTGCTATTGGGAAGTTTGAGTGTACTGTCATCACCATAATTTCAGCCATCCTGCAGTCTATTGCCATAAGGAATGGTCCTGAGCCACCTGCATCCATAGACCATTTCAGCTCGTCACTCCATCGAGTTTACTATAAATAATTTAAAATAAAAATATGATAGGAAATCTACTTAACAAATTTTCGTATAAAATAAAGGAACATTTTGTTACATACAAAATCAGCCAATTTGAAACTGATATTAAGAATAGCCGAGTTAATTTATAATATTTAATTATATTTACAGATGTTGGTGTTGCGTTTGTATTCCATACTTCATCGATTCGTGCAAGAAGACAAACCATTACTGCACTACATGCGGCGCTTACATTGGATTCTATAACTGAAGTTAATTAATTTAAAAGGATAAATGATATCATTACTAATATATGTTTATTATTATTTGACACACATGTAAGTGCTATTTGAGATGGAGAAGTAGATAGGCTACTTTTAATCTCGGCTTTCTCAAGAATCTATAAATATTATCATCACTGTGGGGATTTTTGTTTTTTATACAACTAAGAATGGCAAACAAGCTGAAGGCCCACCTGATGGAAAGTGGTAACCGTTGCCTATAGACATGAGCAGTACCATGGATATAACAGAGTATACTGTTTCACCCATGATACCCCCATGCGTTGCCATTCCTGAGGACTCAGGTGTTATTTTTCTGTACCCAGTAAATTCACGTAATATCCCACCCTTAAAACCGAAATACAGCCAAGCAAACACAACTGCTTCACGGTAGAAACACGAATGGGACAGTGGTACCCAAGCAATCGACTTTTGTACAGAGTCTCCCTCTGGTGATTTGGGGATCTTACTATAATATTACCATAAGTATAAAAGTGAGTTTGTTTGTTATCTCATAGTGTTTTACTCGAGCAATCATACTGAAATTTGGTATACAGATACTATATGGGATGGAAAAAGATATAATAATTTTTTTATCTAGGTCGGTGAATATATCCCGGTCACGCAGACGAAGTCGCGGGTAAAAGCTATTTGAAAAATGTTTTTAAAATTATATAATTTAATTTTGACAGATAATTCAGATAGTGCCCAATCGCGGCCTCTCATAACATTAATTTAAAGTTAGTTTTAAGATATGAAATAGTATTTATGTTAACAATATTATCCGTTATTATTTTTATAAGTACGTAATTAATCATATTTTTAGTTACCATTATATCTGTATTTTAACATTTTATAAATTTATTCATATGATTTGTTCATATGTTTTATAACATTTTTTTTTCATCGAAATTAGAAAGAAAGTTCCTCAAAAAATACATACATACGTATAAAAATATGTATCGAATCTATTGATTTCTTTTTTTAATTTTTTTATAGAAAATAATCTTAAATTATTTAAACAATATTAAGATATTGTTTAAATATTTTCAGATAATGTAAAAGTTATTTAACATATTTATTAATATATTTACTGATATATAAAATTAGGAATAGCCGTAGTAGTGATTGGCTGATAATTGAATACTTTTTGTTGAGATAAAGTCGTAGCTTATGAATTTTTCACGTACTAAGTTTTCTGTTCGTATGTCTACTTATATACTTGGTAAGCATTGACATGCACGCAACGTAAGGTAACTTTTTCGAGACGAAAAGGATTCTGGACAGCACACTGTTAGTAAATTATCGTGAAATCTTTTCTACCCTTTAGGAATACGTAAATGGTATGTATGTTAGTTTTAATATACACGTATATTATTATTGAAGTAAATTCCAAAAGTATAGTAAATAAAATTAAAATTAAAGTATATAAAATTAGTAAAATAGGTCAATATGTTCAAGGCAGCCTAGAAATTATTGGCACCAAAGGAAGCTACTTCAACACGAGGAGTAGTAGCAGTTTTGTGAAACTTATTTACGAAATAATGATGGCGAATAAACATATGACTTACTTAATTATAAGTATTACCGCAATCTATGGGCGTTTATATTAATCTGGTTAAATATAAAGGTGCATGTGCATGTTTTCAATTCTTATATTATGAACAATCCCATCAGTCGTTATCTATCTGCGGCTGAACATAAGCCTCCCCCATAAGGGGGTTTTGTTAGTAATAAACATATTTTCACTAATTATGGAGCTTCATCATTTAAAAGATTATTTTTAAAACGTTATAAATATTAGGGTAATAGTAAAAATCTGGATCAAAGAAAATATATAAAAAAACTAGACAAATGTGGGGTGCTCATCCGACCGCCTCTTAAATACATCTATGTTGATAAAATACAGTTGTTTACTTAATTTTTGTATATAATTGTCGCTGTGATTTGGGGCATTGGTGATGTTCATAAACAGTATCTAGTACGCATGGTGATTCACTTTAGTATCTACTAATAGACCATAAATAAGACTATGAATCATTTTGATATCGATTGAATTTATTCTGAAAGTGCTTGGTATTGTTGACGTCACGCTGCTTATCTACTGTTTTTACGTCAAATATTGATCTAAACAATAGCTGTAATTCGTGACTTTATTTGTATGTATTAGAATAAAACGTATCTTATGAATAAAAAGACAGTAACGGTCATATTTATTTCTATAATATTAGTAGTATTGTTACGACTTTTAGACAATTTTTATGAAAACAATAAATTAAATGATAAAAATTGTTAATAAATGTTGTGATTTATGTGTTTTTAACTGATTTGATTGATTAATATCATTATTCATTATATACTTATTAATTACATAATAAATTGTTTTTATAAATAATTTTATTATATTAATAAAATAATATTATAATTTTATCATCATCTTTGAATAAAAACTTAAACTATGTTTTATATTATATATACATATATATCTTTAGAACTCATACACTTTCGTTTCTGGTAACAATACGAGTTTAAAGTTAATAGACTCAAAAAGCCTGCATAAGTCAATATTGATAATGAAAGAAGAACGTTATTTGTTACTCAGTAGGTGTTTTCTTTTAATGGATGATAATAGAATGGTAACGTCGCCTGCACTATCGGTATACGCTAGTGAGGCACCATCGAGGGATGATAGGTGAGGATGAAAGCAGGTCAGTTAGTCTATAGTGATATACCTGGAATTTAGAAAGATGATTTCCAGGAGGGACCACATGGAGGTCGACTTGGTTAGGTATATTGCTAGCAATGGGACTCTTAGTCTTCATTACTAACATTTTTTACCCAAGTAGGTGTTAGGACTGACAACTCTGTTAATAACATGAAACTAACCAACTAAGCATTTTTTTATCAAAATTGATTGAAAAGTGTTTTATCAAGAATCTATAATTTTTTTTACAACACAGGGGGCAAATGAGCATGCGGCTCACCTGATGGTAAGTGACTACCGCCGCTCATGGTCACCCATAACACCAATAGCATGTGCTGTCGACCTTTTAAAATGTAATATGCTCTTTTCTTGAAGGTTATGTTGTCGTATCGGTTCGGAAATACTGTTGCTGGAAGTTGATTCCAAAGAGTGGTTGTGCGTGAGAGAAAGTGCCTTGAAAAACGCACGGTGGAGGACCGCCACTCGTCCAGATGGTTGGGATGAAATTTTAAATTATGGCGGGTTGTACGATGGTGAAAATCAGTAGCAGGTATCAATCCGAACAATTCTTCAGAGCACTCTTTATGACAAATTCATTAGAAGATGCACAGAGATGCAACATTTCTACGCAGTTTCAGTGGGTCGAATATTATCAGCACTATGAACATCAGTCTTACTATCTATATACATGTAAAACTCGTGTCTCGATGTTTGTAGTCCTACTTCTCCGAAAAGGTTCGTCCGATTTTTAAGAATTTTTTATGTATATTTGGTAGATATATGAATAAGTCGTAAGTATATTTCATACCGCTAGGTAATTACGGTATCTCTTTATGTGGCAGAATAACGTTTGCCTAGTTACCTAGTTAATATAAAAGTAAGTTTGTTTATTTATTACCATATAGTGCCCTAACGGCTCAACCAATCACATTCAAATTTGGTATACATACATACATATATATCTGTCACGCCTGTCTCCCATCAGGGTATGCAGAAACAATGGAACGCCAAGTGTTTCGATTCAAACAAACCTCTCACTTTTTCCACATTCATCAAACTTTTCATACAAGCTCGCCGGTTACAGGTACTTTTAATTTGGCCTTTCTTCAGTACGTCGCCTATTTGGTCAACATACGTCCATCTAGGGCGGCCCCTACCGACATCTCCATTCATTCTTGCTCGATAAATCTCTTTCGTAATTCTTCTTTCATCCATCCTCTCCAAATGACCAAACCAACGCAACATCTCTTGGTCAAATTTGGTATACAGATATTATATGGGATAGAGAAGGATATAGACTACTTTTTTCCAGAACAGTAAATATATCCAGGTCACGTGGACAAAGTTGCGGGTAAAAGCTAGTAAAATATATTTTCTCGCCTATGGTATCCATCATATGATGCCATTTCTAAGAATTAAATTGATATGCAGAGAGCCAGTGGATGTAGATGGCTCAGGATCGTTCCTTATGGCAGACTTTGGATGAAGCTTATGTTGTTTTTAATGGATGATAATGGAATGGTAACGTCGCCTACGCTATCGATATAAACCTGGTGGGCACCAGTGAGAGAGGTGGGCACTCCACCTCTCTCACTGGTGCCCACCAGTGAGAAATGATAAGTGAAAATAAAAGAGCAGGTCAGGTAGCCTATCGTGATAAATACACCTGAAATTCAGCTCGATGGTTTCGAGACCACGTGCAGGTCGGCCTGACGGGGTATATTGCTAGCAATGGGATTGGTAGTCCGCGTTACTAACAATTCCTCCTCTCCCAGGCCTATGTTTAGAAGGTAGCAGATGATGATGATGAATTTGTTATGTCTTTGTATACTATAATTTCATTGCTATATTCCACCGCTTGGTAGCAAGAACAACAGAAACAGGACTGCCTAAGTAGAAGATCTTTGTACGAAGTCTTCCTCTAGTGAAGTTAATGTTATTTGTTCGTAATATATCATATTGCCCAAAAAATGCAATAGTTTTATTATCCTAGCAGTATTTATTATTAAAGGTGATTACAACGCAAACGTTTATCATCAAAATTTTATCATAACTAAATATGCGATAAGTATGGATAAAGTCAAACATTATTGATATTGGTCATTTATTCATAGCAGCTCGCTCAAACTGTAAATTAATAAATGTGCTGTGAGTGCTGAATGTGTTGGGGGATTCATACAGGATAATTATCAATATGAGTAACGAGCCAGAGGGTAAGTAAATAGTTTTATAAATATGACTTTAACTGCATTTGTATTGCATTAATATTGAATAAAAAATACATTTTGGCAGTCAGGTAGTAGATTTATGGTAATTTGTAAAGATGTTTGTGTATTTATGCATTTTTTGGATGCTTTTTATTGTTATTCAATTACTCTTAAACACTTGAATGGTATTTTAAACAATATATCATAGTAACCTGTCATATATGATATTCATATGATGTTATTAGGTATATGTAGGTAACTAACTTAGCACATACAATACCTTATGATGATGAATCAATAATTCACGGGTAAATCTGCGGGATATAGCTAATCTTCTGTATGAGAAGAATTATGAAACTAGACGAAACGATGCATGCCAGAATAAATGATTTAGCATATGGCTTTCCCTACTTTGTAAGGAATGTAATTATTTAAACGAATTCAAAAAAGAGGTTTTGTATTCTATAATTTCTGAACCACAGTAGAGGTATTGTTTTAAAGTATCACGACGAACCCGTCGCTTTTATCTATTTTCATAAATTTTCATCATTATTCTAGTAGATTCAATATATTCTTATCTTTTCAGGCGATGCGTCATTGTAGTCATTCATTACATTTATACAAAAATACAATGACATACTGATGTCCAGCAGAATATTTTATGATTTGTTATAAATTTATTTTTATAAACACATAGATCACTATTTATATACTCTTGTTTTGCCCTATATATACAATGTGTCAATTACTGTTCGTTACTATCACTGAAACTCGAAAACAGCTTGACAGATTTGAATATTCTTTTTGTTTTGTTTGTTATACTATAATAAAGGAAAACCCTAACATTCAGCAGAAAAATCGAAAAATTACAATTAGGTAATTTTGTATGGGAATTGCTACTTCGAATTAATTTTACGAGATGGCGTTGCGGGTGATTGAAGTTCATCAAGACGTATAGTTTTAATATATAATATATCCATATACTAAATTTTATTTCGATCCGTTGAGTCTTTTAAGCATAATTATGTAATAAAAATTCAAACAATTAAACGTATAGACAAACTACAGACTTTGATTGTTATTAATTAGTACAGAATTAGACGGTATAATAAGTAACTTCTATATTACAGCAAAAACCGTGATCGATGCTCAACCAGCTTCAGAGAGGGTTGACGACCGACCGATCTCTAGTCCGCCACCTTACCCTGGTCCTCCGCAATCTGAACCTTCAGTACAACATGTACATTTGATACCCGGCACGGTCACAGTGACCCATCCTCCTGCTGTAGTGGTCATCGCTCAGCAGATGGGTCCGGAACCAGCAATTACAGTTTGTAAGACCTGTAATCATCAGATAGTCACCAGAACTGACCAAAGGCCAACTATGCGGACACACTTGACTGCTTTACTTTTGTTATTACTTGGGTAAGTTTATCACTTTACTTACCGTAATCTTGAGTAATCAGAGTTATTTTTCAATGTACAAAAACTATTAAAAAAATATCAATATTTTCAAAACATTATTTAAAAGTAAGTAAACTATACTAACTATACTAGCCTTTTTGGGTCACTGCGACACACTTGGTGAAAACATATCTCCAATATTCATGTTTTGTTTTATATTTGAAAAAATGTAAATAATCAGATTGTATAAATTTATTTATTAATTTACGTGTGTCATAAATGGCTCAAATAAAGTGTTTATCTATCTATCTATTATAGTTTAGGACTAGATGGCGCTGTGTGAATATGTTCAGTGTTTATTTATGTTTTATTACATTACAATGTTATATTATAAAAAAAAATATTATTTAAATAAAATAGACTAACATGGGGTTTTTCAAAATATATTTCTTTAGGTCGGCAAAAAACCTCTGGTATTGCAGGTGTTCATAGGCTTAACCACTTAATGGGCCGTATGTTTGTTTGCCACCTAAATGGTATAAAAAAAAATATTATATAATTTTTATCAATGTACTTGTATTTAGAACGTTTATTTTTAGTTCTATTCTTGGAAATCCATAAATGTCGTGTTAAATTTAAAACGAATAAACCTTATCTTAAATATATTTTTTTAGATAAATAAAAGTTTAGAATTTTCCAAATCAGTTTAGTATTGATGGAGTAATGAGATACCAAAACTAAAAGATCAACCGAATTGAGAATCTTCTTGTTTTGAAGTCGGATGAAAAAACTAATAAGGTTTTACAGTTTTAAACCTCAGTGGCGAAGCTATAGTTAATTTCGCGTAATAAGGTCCCAGGTTCGATCTTTTCTAAATAGGTTTGAGTTTGGATGTTCCGGTTTCTGGGGTCTAGCTTCCTTGCCTGATTTCCCATAACACATGGTATCTTAAGCATCTGACGTTTGGTACGATTTTGTAGCACTGGCATTTATTATGACTATTTTATTCTGATTAAGATATAAGTGAAATGTTTTTCTCCATTCCAGATGTTGGCCTTGCGTATGCGTCCCTTACTGTGTGAACTCGTGCTTGGCAGTCGACCATTATTGTACAAGATGCGGGGCTTACATTGGTTCTTACCAATATTGAATGCAAATAAGAGGAATAATAAAAAAAATATGCCTATAAAATTTGGTAATTGCATGAAAACATAATTATAGACTATAAAACATAATTATATAACTTCCATAAAAATCGGTATTTGCATTATGACAAACTAAACTAAATTAGAGAAATATTGTATGTTCTGTTTTAACAGAATTTAATGATAATGTAAAAAACTAAAAATTGATCTGACCATAAAACAGTACGCTAATTGTTTAATAGTAATACAAATAAATAATCGATTACATATTAATTAATTCAATGTATTGATATGTTAATTTTAATAAAACTTAGTTATTTCTTCATTTAGTTTTATTGAAATAGCTTACAGGTATTGGTAAAGCATACAGATACCTGTAAACTAAATGGAATATACGATAAAACGATGAGGACCGGATGAATAGAATTTTAAATTGAGAGCAACGAACGGGCTTCGTTTAAAAGAATTTTAAATTGTTCCATTGAAAGCAAAGGGCACGGTTTTATAGAAAAATTAATGATAAAAGATTCAGGCTAAATATGGATGTATAAATAGAGAGAGAAAATTTTAAGAAAATATTTTATTGTGACTTATTAGAAGAAATAAACTGCATCAATGTTAATACTAAGTAACAGATATTAATTAAAGTAATTTTCAATAAAATAAAAATTATGTAAATTATGTATTTGTATATATTACCTTTTATTTATCTAATAATAGATATTAATTAGGATAAGTGTACATTAAATAATAAAAACATATTATAAGCCATAAAATTGTATACATAATATATAGTACATATTTATAGAAAAAGGTGTGATTATTATTTATAAATGAGGTCCCTGTATTAAACTACATATATACTACAAATATACCATTTGTTCATATTATTGCATATAGTAATAATTATTATACATAGCACCAAAAAAAAATAACATTGTCAGTGGCCAAGATTGTTGAAGTATTTTTATAAAAGAATTAAAAGTAATATTTTTAATTCCGTGGAATGTGTATCAAATGATATTCAACTTAGTACAGTCGTTTTGTCGTGATCGAGTTACAAACACAAATCTCCAAACACATTTACTAATTTTCATATTATGATAATATATAGTTTCGGCAGGATATCGATTTCTCAATGACAAAATATATATTTTGTCCCGTGTTGTGGTACAAAATTATCTACACAAGATATTGATATAAATAGATAACGCAAATAATACAAGGTACATAATACCTACATACCTGTGTACACAGTATCTTCCGATAACATTATACATAATATTTGCAAAGCTGGCAACTCATTTAATGTAATTAGGAAGATTAGAAAAAATCGAATGACCCACTAATAAACGTCACCAATAAACATGAACAACTCATCACAAATAGAATAGTGACGTTACTTATGAAGACAACGGAGTCATTATATGTCTCACTATGTTAGTGATTAAATTGGCATTAGTACCTTTTATATGGCATTAACGCTACGACAAAGTAAATTAACATTTATTTGTAAGTGAATCATACGATATGATACGAAACACAAATTTTAAGTTTTGTTCTATATAAAACTGACTTTAAATTTGATAAAATTAGCAGGAATCATCACGGGGATAATCTATCGATCCATTTTATTTATAATCACAAATTATTTATTTATTATTATTATTTATTAAAAACCTATTGATTGGAAAAAACATCACCATAATCGGTTGATAAAAAACTCGCACTATTCATAGACATTATTTATGGATATAATAGACATATAATGGACATATATAAGGTTTGCTGGAAGAAATTTCTTTACGATAAGCTTGCCTTTGTACATTACGTTTAAAATTAATTGTTCTTAACATTATATTTCTGTATAATAAAGAATAAAGAATATATAATGAATACAATAGACATGTCTGTAGACACAACCATTGTACCACTTTCCACCAGTCGGGTAAGTATCCCTGGTAGTATTCTGAAACAATAATGTTACTAATTAGATAAACAACCATATAATCGTTTTAAAATCGTACTAGGTATTCGTATCTATAAACGATCTACCATTTTCGTACTCGACTGGGTATTCCCGGTAGTATTGTGAAACAGTTTAATAACAATAAGTGCCTATCATAAAAACTTAGTCACTCTCAGTTAGTTATTTTGTTATTTATTACAAAATATGAATCATCTGATCGCTCGTTTGAAACTTTATCGCCGTTTATCTATGTGTTATCTACATCTACATTATACAATGTCTGTGATCCAAAGTGCATTCTGTGGTATATATATATATATATATATATATATATATATATATATATATATATATATATATATATATATATATATATATATATATACCAGGTATTGATCACTATGGTTTGAAACTGGACACTAGTAAGAGATGACTGGTGAGAACGAAAACAGGTCAGTTGGCCTATCGTGACGAATTTAACAAGAATTAACCATGATGGTTTCTAGAGAGAACTGAGTGGAGGTTGACCTAATAGGGTATGTTCTTAGCAATGGGGTTTTTAGATCACATTACTGGCAATCTCTTCTCGCTAGCTGCGTAGAGGTCGACCTGACCTTTCCTCCCTACCTGCAGATATTACCCTAACAAATCTTAATTTAGGAGGCGAATAGGATTGTCACTAATGGGGACTAATGGTCCGAATTATAACTAATAATATACTTTGTCAAATTGACCTTTCTGCGTTCTTGCCCTGAAAAATAATTCCACAATTAGGTTACAGATAGATTACAAGGATGGTATCCTTGGTGAAACAGTGGTGATTACTATGGGCTATTGTTTTGACTTTATCCTCTTTCACTAACTCATTAGCGAATATAGATAGTGCAACTAGCCATTTCATTAAAATAAAAAAAAAAAACTTATTTTGATTCTTTTAAACCGACTTCAAAAAGTAGGAGGTTTTCTCAATCTCAGTTTCAATTATTTTAATCAATCAATCTTGTCACTTCAATTCAATTTAGTTGTATATTTTTTATATTTATTATCGCATAACTTCAGTTTTAAATCAATTTGGTCTACAGACTGGTCCCCTAGAAATTTTATCAAAATAAGTTCTGTAATATAGCTTTTAGGTTTTAGTAACAGGTTTTGTCACAATAAAATTCGGTTTTTTGTGGAATACAAATCTTGTATTATTGTATAAAACAAATGTGTTCAATTACCCCAGCCTTTATTTGTAAAGAATGTGAGTCCAGTACTTTCTCTAATATTCGATTTAGATTTATGAAATTTACATCGCATTGCATTACAGACTTTTGTGATAACAACGATATGAATTATTTTTTCCAAAATATCAAACTGTTAGATAGTAGGTATATACGTATGTATATTACTATCAGTGATATCATATCTATATTCATTCTTATCATAGTGAGGTTACGAAAAGATTACAATACGTTCGCAGAGTTTTATAAACGAGACATTTTTGTATAAAATCTTATTTTGAAATTACGATAATTTGAGATTTTATTTTAAATTTGAAATATGAAAACCTCTTGATTTTTTAATTCGATTGAGAATTATAGAATTTGGCAGTAAAAAATTTAGATTCATCATCATCAGTGATGCCACTCTTACTGGAGTTATGTCTATCGTATCAACTAATGCACTAAATATAATTGATCTCTTTTGTCACTGGGAGTAGAGTAGAAGGGATTGTTAGTAACGGGAACGCTAATCCCTATTGTTAGCAGTATAGGTCGACATCCAAGTGGTTTCCCCTGGAAACCGTCATAGTCAATTCCTAGTGAATTCGCCATGATCAGTCAATTGACCTGACTCCATCCTCATTATTTCTTTCTCCATTAACAGACGAGTTTACTATTCCCTTTTTAATTCTATAAAAATCGGTCTACTTGTATTAATATCCTATTCCATACAACTGGTAAGGGTTTAGGATTGTAGAATACAACAGAAAAGCATGGAATAAGACATAATAGATTACGAATACATACGCGATACGAATTGATTTCAACCCCCATAGGGTTGCGATGTTGTCAAATGATGGATCAGCAAGTTGTTAATTTAATTTTCCCTTTTATATTGATATATTTGAATCAGTGTTTACCTTTGAACGCACATTTATACGGGTCGAATGTATTGAAAAAAGCTGAATTTATAAATTCTTTGTAAGACTAAGTGAGCGAATACTTCTTCTTCCTCTCTCTCAGATTTTTGTTTAGTCAAGTTTAAAATGCAGAGGTTCTCGTAGAGACATCTATTTAGAAATCAACATCTTTATAGATTCAAGATTTTTTATAATAATAATACGAGTAATATATTTTTCTGACTGAAAATATTAAAGATTTACATATTTTTTAACTTGGATATTTATTGAATTTTTTATTTGTCATTTTTTAATTTGTAGGTTTTTCATATATGTTACTTGTATATTAAATAAATTGTATATTATTATAATAAATTATATCTTACTAGAGGCTATTATAATATTAATGGAACCGAATAAATAAATACGTACAGAATGTACACAGTTTAAGTCTTATTACTTAACAATATATAATTTCCGTGTGGCCATGACGTGGTCTCGGCAAACAATAGACCACTCCTTCCTTTCTCATGGATATCCTGAGAGCCAAATAAGGGAGGGCGAGCGACGGGCAGCAGCGTTTCTCTTAAAACATCTCTAAATCCCTGACTACGGTTTCCAATTCGCCTGCCAAGCATGGCAACTACTGGCAAAACCCCCTAAGGTGTATGTTCAGCAGCGGACAGTTAAAAGTTACTGTCCTACATAAATAAGTGCATGGTTTATAAGTTTCTTAATAGTTTATTATACCATGTAATCATGTCCCATTTAATTCAAATTTATTAAAGTTTTATATTAAATTAAATTTTAAAACATATATTGTTATCGGAACGAACACAATTGTGTACACGATACTACGGCTCTGGTAATGTATAGTGTTATATTTCTGTTAGTCTTCATAAGTCTACCGTGTCGATTGGAACTATATTAGAAATTGTACTGAAATTTATTTATTTTGTGATTGTAAGTGATAGATAGCAAATGGAGTCAAGTGGTAAGTTGGATTAATTGTTTACGAAATAATATTATAAAGGCATTATTCGGTAAATTTTGTGGAATTAATGTGAAAAGTAATTCTATCATATATATTACTGTATTTATAAATAATCTACTGTATTTCTGTTAAGTTGTACGAAATATACGTATTTAATTTCGTTCACCTATATAATTTTAAATTATTTTTATATATGTATGTATATATCTGGTATACAAAAGTTATTATTATATAATACAGTATTTAAATTCAATGATATGCTTCTACATTAATTGAAGATAGTTGAAATAATGTTTAAGAAATATTGTGTGGTAAACAAAATAATCAAATTGAGTGCATTTATTAATGTACATGATAATGATGTTAATTTGTTACGTCTGCTATATAATAAATGTAACAAAATCGAAATAAGTTTTGGTGAAAGAGTTAATAAGAATAAATGTCAGACGACTCATACAACTGCGTAATTCCCCAATAAGTTGACAAATACTTGCGAAATCATATAATGATATTATGAAATGTCATCACAACCAGGAATTTTCCAAAAATATGTAATATGTTAATATTTGAAATAATAATTTAACATTGTGTAACAAAAAACACCGACTTTAATTGTGGCAAAACCAGTTATTTTGATATGAAAACTAAAGTATTGAACCTATTTTGATAAAATTTGTATGAGACTAATCTGATAATTATTCATCCAGTTAAAAAAGAATTTTTTAAATTGATTTATAATTGACGGAGTTATGAGGTAATAAATATATAAAAATATAACTGAAGTTTAGAACACAATCTTTAATTACAGTAATATCAAATAATAAAATAAAATCAATCTAAAAATTAATTTACAGGTAAAGATTCGTTTGTGAATTATCCTCAGTCGACATATCCGCCTACAAGTCCACCTCCGTACCCTGGAAATGATTCAGGACATGCTCCATACCCTGGACCACCGGGTCCAAGTGGACCTCACATTCCACAGGGTCCTACAGTCTATCAACCGGTGACAGGTCCGACGGTAGTAACTGTGGGACCCGGGGTAGTCTCAGGTGTTATTTTTGGACAGCAGATGGGCCCACTTCCCACCAGACTAACCTGCAGATCGTGTAACGAGCAAATAACGACAAGGATTGAACAAAAAGCGTCCATGCGAACACATATGATGGCATTACTTCTGTGTGTATTTGGGTAAGTTAATGTTTTTTTTTTTGTACACCATTTTTTTTTTCTTATATGCCAACACATGTGTTTACCATGTAATGTTTGTAATATGTCTGTATTGCGATGTAACAGCCTTACCAAAATATCATTGTAACCAATGTTGGAAATAAGTTGTAAAATCTATTCATTCATCATGAGGCATATATATACGTCTTGGAATGATAAATAAGATGACAATCTACCTGAACAAAAATAAAATATCTAAAATATATGGAAATAAAAGAATAAGTACACTGTTATGGTTATGATACTTCTGATCATTATGAGGCTTTGAGTATTGCATCTCTTACTACATGTAACTGCTATGTACGATACACATTTGAGGTCATCGTCATGACTATTTAGTAAAAGGTAACTTTAAACTGAGATGTCTATACAGAATACAGAATCATCATTTAAGATTTTTTCTATTCCATTGGTTCACTTTGATTTTTTTGTGGAGAGATATGTCTGACTAATCAACTGATGGGTCTCATATATGACATAGGCGCACTGATATGTGAAGCATCAGTACATAAGTTTTTTTTTTATACAACTTAGAATGGCAAACACGCTGACGGCCCACCTGATGGAAAGTGGTAACCGTCGCCTATAGACATGAGCAGTACCATGGACATAACAGAGTATACTGTTTCGCCCATGATACCCTCCATGCATTGCCGTAAATTAAATATTAATTAAAGTAGTAAACTCATTATAAATACAAACAATTATAAGAAAATATTACATTGAGAAAACAATAGGCGGCCTAATTCTTTAGATTTCGAGGGTGATTTCTTCAAAGCAATTTTTGTATGGAAAAGAGTAATAAACAGTTTGACTGAAGACACGAAATTCTGTTCGTTTTTTAAAACGCATATAGAGAATACGTACAATAATGTGAATATATAAATGTACATTATAACTTACTGATACATACTTTAATAAATCCGTATACCTATACGTACATATAAATATATAAATACAAATGCATACAAATTCATACATATAGCAACATACATACAAATGTAGTTATAAAAATAAAAAAGAATGTAAGTATGTTAATCAGATACAAATTACAAAGATGACAACTATCTCAGATAAAAGACTTTAACTTTTGTTTTAAAACTACATTGTATCTGAAATAAGATTTAAGAAATTGTAAAAATTGTAATGATTAAAAGATCGAGAAATGAAACTGGAGACAAAAATGGAAATAATAATAAATAATTCTCATTTCGACTGACATTTCTCTTTGTGTTAATGTTATGTGATATCTACGCTATTACCGTGGAGTTGCATTAGATAGGATTTACTTCTTTGTGGATTTCATAATAATTTTGTTATGATTTTAGACGCTCTTTTTTCGGAAACAAAAATCGTAAGACTATAAATTTACTCATTATGTTTTTTCTTTCAGATTATGGCCCTGCGTATGTATACCATACTGTATGGATTCCTGTATGAATGTAGACCATTATTGTACAAATTGCGGTGCTTATGTTGGCACGTACCAGAACTAATATAATTGAATAAAAACCAATTATAAGGACAGATCAGTGGTGATCATGAAGAGTATAGATTTGATACGCCATATTCTGGATACATCCAAAAAAAAGTTTAAGTGTTCTTAGTTCAAATTAAAAGTTCTATATTTGCTACTGAATTTTAAGAAGATTTCTATCAAGACATACTAATTTATTTTAGTACATTACATATTTTTACAACAATTGTCTTTTACAAGTGTACTTTGATACTGGACTATTTATTTTTACGAATAAATGTATCGTAGTATATGAAATATTGTGATTATCTATGGTGAATTTCGAAATGTAAGTTTATCATAAAATTTATAAGACCGTATGTAATTTTTTTTTCACAGTCCATAGAAACATGTAATCATAGAATGATAGTAGATATGTTACATCAATTACTATATATAATATATTTGTTTTATTAGTTATTTCTCTCAAAATATTTTACAAAAATTTTATCAACCTTAAAAAATTTATACTGCAATTGACAGGATTTATGAAACTACTAGTTATATTTTTTTCCACCAAATTTCAACCAACTTCTTCTCGAAAAAAGAACAACTTGTATCTGCACAGTATAAGGTATGAGTACATACCGCTTTCCATCAGGTAGGTTGTCAGCTTGTTTGCCATTCTAAGTTGCATAAAAAATATACCCATTGTTATATCTTTGTTCTTTTTTTCGTGAATGTTATTTTTTTTATATTTAGGTTATTTTTTAGGATAAAAAAATTGAGACTCTTTATTAATACTATCATCTTTATAGGCCTGGCGGACGAAGTTGCGAGTAAAGATTAGTAACTAAATAAATGTATTAGTATTCCATGTATACTGTAACTAAAGTTGTTCACCTTGTTTGCGGTCTGAGATAATTGTGAACGTGAGTGTAAACACTTGTTTTGTGATAACACGATCTCAAATCTTGAGGCAGCGTCTGACAGAGTGATGGTTAGAAGTGTCTAGGTATATTTGATTTGTATAAGGAAACTACAAAGATATTACAAAACTATTTTCCTGTTAGAATTGCGGGAAAAATAACTAATAAATTAATTATAACTAATTAAATCAATAACTTTATTGTATTGAGATTGGTTCTCTCTTTTTATTTTGTAAGGACCTGGCATGAAGATATATTTGTAAATAATTTAGTACCCTGTCATAGTGATTAGTGATTATACTAAGGATGTATTTAACCAGTTTATTAAATACATTTTAATTGTGATAAGGTACAAATGTTCTTACATATTAATTTATATATTGACTGTGTTGTAATTAACTAGTTACGTTACATTGATATCGTATAAAAATATGCTATAATTGAATTAAGTTTATTCGTATAAAATATAAAAAGATTAAATACTTAAGTGATTAAAAAATATACTTTTTTCTTAATCACCAGAATTATAAAACCTCCAAACTTGAAATTTTACACTTACTCATGAATCTACATAAGCTTATTATTCTCTATTCCAATCAACATTATCTTCCTACCTTTGTCATAGTTATTTATTTGCGATTAACGTAATATATTTTCTTCTTCCATTCTCCTCTATTTGCAGTTATTATAGCATTTACTCCCCTTTTGGCAGTATAGTTTTTCACATAGTCCATCCATGTCGTTTTAGGACTTTCTCTGCCCTTGTAGGCATCAGCACACGCATCACGAGTAAACTTTGAAAAAAATTCAGTTCATTTATACTTTTTGAATGTATATTATTGATTTTTTGATTAACTGATTTTTACGATTCTTTTGACTGAAAAATCTTAGTCCAATAATGGTAATTTTGTTAATATTGTATCGTAAAGTTTTAAATAATCAACGTTTAACCTCTTTAAGTAGGCATATTCTGATTAACAAGTGCAAAACTTCATTGCTACAAAATTGTCTCAATTATTTTGTTAGTTCATTCCCGGAACAGTTTCGTATACAGTGATGACATAACGATCTATAATAGCAGTCTCTTTTAACCTTGAAATGGCCGTTAACCGACTTTATGTCAAAAAGACTACCATAGTAAGACTGAAGAAGATCACTCATTAAATCAATTGCATAAATCAATAAATGAATTAATATATATCCCTTATTAAATTATAAGATAAAGGAAATAAAGCAAGACAACTAATAAATGTAATGATACAATTGTATAAGTACAATAATCGCCTCGCTAGCTATTGACTTTGTGGATGTTCAGTCTGGCCCATATATATATTATACAGCCGGTTTTAGATCAAAGACTTTCCCATCTGCACTTATTATATATATGTTGGGCGATAACGCCCCCATTATGGGCGCTGAAGGCCTAATGGGAGGCGGTAAGAGACCTAGAAGAAAATGGGGGCGTTGTGTAGAGACTTGGGGGGGTGATTTGTTGATCTTGAAGTAATAGTGGTTTTAATAGTGGTGAAAAAATGGGGGCGCTAAAAAATAATTTATTCTCAAAGTGGGCGGTAGACAAAATAAGTTTGGGAACCCCTGGCCTATATGGTCGCGTACAGCGCGGTTTCAGAGATATTTTCTCCCAGAAACCTTTAGGTTATGGAATGAACTTGAATTGAATGAGGTTTTTCAAAGAGACTACAGCATGGGTTCACAAAAAAGGGGTAAAGAGGTTTCTTTAGGGTTGGTTACGTGCACGTAATACCACTGGTATTGTAGACGCTCATAGGCTACGGTAACCGCTATCATCAGGTGGGCTGTATGCTTGTTTGGCATCTCAGTAATATACAAACAAACATGCCGCTGCACATGAGCATCTACAACGCCGGAAGAATGGCAGGTGTCCCAGCAGTTTTATTTTAAATAAATATGTTATTTTTGAAGGTATCTACATCGTATATTTTTGAAGGTATCGTATCGGTTTGGAAATTCTGCTGCTGCTGAGTTGATTTCAAAACTTGGTTTTGTTATGTTTGAATACGTGAAAATTAATGGTATACTCGTAATTTTATTTCCGAAATTAATTTTCACCCAGCGACCTTGTCTAAGATATCACGTCTAGGCATGCCTATCGGAGTTGGAAGTGAGCCATAAAAATGTTAGTCATTTGTATTCGTTCGTTCGGGCTACTGTTCTACGGGAACGCAGTACGTTCCCGTTTATTATAAATATTTTGTTTCGGTGCTTTCAGTATCTTCCAAAATGAAAGCGGCAGATAGTAAGTATTTTTAATTAGACTTTTAAAACTTATTAATACACTAAGAAATACTCAGAAAGTCCTTTATTTATAAATGTGTATTTTTTGCCGTTAGTAGACGAATAATTTTAAAGAGATAAATTGTTTAAACCACGAGCGCCATCTACGTTGATCTCTATTGGAAGTGATACATGTTATCGGTTTTAATAGAACCTTTGGCGAGTTTTGTCAGTAGTTGCCACGCTTTGCTGATATATCGGTAACCGCAGTTAGGCTTTGGTGACGTTTTAAAAGAGACGCTGCTACCCAATTAAATTCTGTTAGTCGCCTCTTACGATGCTCATAGGAGAGAAAGAGATGGACTATTCTATGCCGAGAGAATACGGCTAGAACGATTAACACTTGATCTATTTTTCTATTATTGACCTTTGATTAATTTCAATTTCCTAGAAATTGAGGCGAAACGAATGTTTGTAGTTTAAAATAGTAGTAGCAGCTCAGATAAAGCTAATTTCAATGTACACTTTTTAATTGTCTATACGAATATGAATCTTAGCATAAAGCAAACATAGTCATAGTCGCTAGTAGGTTGTTAGTCCCTATTACTAACAATCAGGTCGACCTCCACGCGAATCCCCTGGAAACTATCATGGATAATTCTAGTAGAATTGGTCTTGATGGGCTAACTGATCTGGCTTCATCGTCACCTCATCCTTTACTGGTGCCAAAAACAATCCCTTCCTTCACTTAACCGGTTTTATTAAATTTGATAACAATATAAACAATAAGATTTAATACTGTTTATTTTTATTTGAGATATATGAAATTTCGGCTGGAAAATGTTATAACTCATTTTTCTTATTTACCGTTTCGAGATTACTACGATAGGAGATTTATTACCCACTACCTTTTCATAATACATACAAATTCTTAAGGAAAAATATTCCTTTATAAATTATTACATTATTATCCAGCGTAAATAGGATCACGTTCCGTTTTAATCTTTGTCTCTATATTTATTACTACTCCTATATTTAAATTATTGAATATTAAATATTATCATAAGAATAATGTATTGTATTTACATAGATATATAACAATTCTCGTTTTTATTAATATTATAATTAGGAATGCCACTTTGTTTTCTAGTTTTTTACATGAATTTCCAATTGGAATCAAATTTCGTATAAACGTGGTTTTGTGATAGAGTAAGGTGTATTTTTATTTCGATTCATGTATTGTCACTGTATTCCTTTTTAAAAGGTTATTCCTTTTTAAAAGGTCGGCAGCACATTAGCAATTCCTCCGGTATTGCGGGTGCTCATGGGCGGCAGTAGTTACTTACCATTAAGTGAATCGCATGTCCGTTTGCCCCTTGTGTTATAAAAATAAAAAATATAAACTTTCAAATTTTCAGATAAAGAAGTACGTGTAGACGATAACCAATCCGTTTACCCACCGCTCAACGAAGCCGAACAGAGTCTACCTTATATTAATCCACCTCCATATCCTGGTCTACCGCAAGCTCCCTCAGCACCTGGGATTTCACAGGTGACTCCAGAGAGGGCTGCAACTCCAATGCCTGCAACAATTTCAGCAGTCAATCTAGAACAATCGGTGGGCCCAAATCCTACCAGAGTGACATGTAAATCATGCTACCAAAATGTAACGACGAGAATTAGTAGAAACCCGACAATACGCACACATTTAATAGCTTTACTGTTCTGCGTGTTCGGGTAAGTCAACCTAAAAGGAGCTGACATGTTTGTCGAATCTAAACTTTTTGTCATTCATTTTATGGTTTACTTTGATTAAGCGAATAATAAAGTTTTATTACCTTATCATAATTCAGATACAGGTTTGCATTAATGAACATACGAACACATGTTATTGCTCACTACATAGAAAGATATCGTCTTTTCCTTATTAGTTTTACTAAAAACTTGAAGTACTACATTTTAATTAATTTACACTGCAGTAGATACCTACTTATATAAATATTACAATACAATACTTTTCAGGATTACAAGCATAAAAAAATTAATACATCGAAGTAGTTGTAGCTATTTTAGTATAAGTCACAATTTTTTTTTTTATTTGTTTGAATCTTAAACGCAGAGTCTTGAAACTTTAGTTCTGGGAAGTGATAAAGTAGTATAAATACCATGTATGGTTATACAACATAATCTGTAACATTTGTGGTGTTATGAAATATTTGATAGTTACATTTAGAAATTTGGGCCACAAAGGACAAAGAATTTTGAGCCTTCTATAAAGTGAGCAGGGCGTTTTTTCATTTTTATCTTTTTACATATGGTCATCAATTTTAATTTCAGTTTTAGTTATGTAGTTCAGTTTTTAACTACAATTTAAACCCATAATAAGGAATTCCAAATTGCTGTATCAATAATTGGAACTACTATGTTTACAGTTTACATATGTACATAAGAACATGCTATTTTATATCTATATTAGCCCCTCAGTGTGTGAGTTCAACATGCGCCTGACTGGTTTTATTTTCACCGTTACACCAGCTCTAAGAAAAAAACAACTACATTCAAAATGTACCTATTCTTCTGTTTAAATACCCTTCTTCTCTATCACGACAGAACTTTTTTACTAATGTAATTTTATCATTTTAGATTATGGTTCTGTGCATGTCTACCATAATGTGCCGATTTGTGTTTAAATTTGGATCATTATTGCTCAAAATGTGGCAATTATATAGGTACATGTAAGAATTAAGTTGGTAATTGGTTAAGTAATTAATAATAAATTTTAATACTCTCTTTTACTACTAATATATTGCAAGAGGTGATTAAATCCAATACATTAAGTGGAAGAGACGACGGATAACACAATACTATATTGTATTAGTACTTCTATAATTATTACATTATTAATAGCAATATTTGTGCATTTATTGTTGTAGTGGTGTATAAAACTCTATGCATAATAGATTATTAAATAAATTAAATTATTATTTTTATTTATAACTGAATTAATTTTATTTATTTTTTAAATTTGACTATGTACCTATTCTATAATATTATGTCTATATGCCAATATGTAAGTAATATTATTTTAGGTAATTACTCATTTATTAAAGAGGTATTTAAAAAGATATATTTTTTAAATCATATGATTTCAAATATCTAATAAATAATAACCAATTATACGCGACAGACGATGTACCTTTCTTATTAATAATAAGTAATCTGTAAATATACTACATAACACTTACAAAAAATATAGGCGCTATAAATGTGCTATAAAAAGCATATACAATAAGGCGCATTCAGCTATTTCCAAAAATTTTATTTTACTTATTACATATATCACCTGTTAACTGCCCACTGCTGAACATAGGCCTTCTCCATTAGGGAGGCTTTGCCAATAGTTGTCATACTTGGCAGGCAGTTTGGTAACCGCAGTTAGGCTTTTGGTGATGTTTTAAGTGGGATGCTGCTGCCCGTCCCTCGACCATTAAGTTCTCTTAGTCGCCTCTTACTACACCCACGGGAAAGGAAAGAGTAGCTCATTCTATGTCAGGACCACATGGCAACGGCATTATGATCCATGTTTCTTTAATAAAAAAGGTTCAATTTCGCTGGTAGAATACTACCATCAAGGGATTATATATATTGATCTAGATTTGTTTGGTGGTAGATAGTGTACAATATAATGGAGCTGGGGGGAAAGGAATTGTTAGCAATGGAGTTTGAGAGCCCCATTGCTAGCATAATGCCCTATTAGGTCGACCTTCACGTGGTTCCCCCTGGAAACCATCGTGAACAATTCTTGTTGAATTCGTCACGATGGGCTAAGTAACCTGCTTCAGCCTCACCTACCATCCTTCACTGGTGCCTCGCCAGTGTATAACAACAGATCAATGAATTGATTTTATTGTAAACAATTCATACAATCTGATAAGAAGTTATAATAAAATACAATCTGAGAGACAATTTTAACTAATTAAACTAAACAAAAGGTCAGTCTGATGCTAAATGATTACGGTACTGTTATGTCCATGGTACTGCTCATGTTTGTAGGCGACGGTTACCACTTTCCATCAGGTGGGTTGTCAGCTTGTTTGCCATTCTAAGTTGTATAAAAAAAAACAGTGGTCTATAAATTGTTTAGCAACAGAGCGTGTTGCCGATTTTCAACTTTAAGCTGAAACTGAAAATTAAGTGGCCTTTCTTTAAGAAGATTTAGTCTCTAATAAGACCTTGACAAGAAGGAAGAAAAAAAGCTTATTTAACAACCTGCGTAGAAGGAAATACCTTTAAAACCGTAATGCATGACCGTTTACATTTTACTGTGTCAGGGGGTACCCGTTTATCAATTTTGTAAATGAAGTAGATGATTATACATTTATATCTACTTACCTTCTTGCCTAAATACAAGTATTTTTTTTTATCTCACACATGATACGTATGAGATAAAAAAAATACTTGTTTGAAATTGCTTACAGAAAATGGCGTAATTAATATATATAGCTTAATATCTATTTTTATTAAATTCTGACTCATATTTATTCTATAAAAATACAGACAAGATAAATAGATAAATAATCAATATAAATAGATAAATGATCAATATCATTGGATGAGTAATTGAAGTAATCAGCAATCAAGAATTAGGTTGTTCCCAAAAAAATGTTGATAATTTTTAAAATCAGCAGTTGAAGAATTTAATTGATTGATTTTTAATCGACTTTAAAAAGAAGGAGATTCTTAATTTGATTGCATTTTTTTTTTTGTATTTGTTTCTTCATATTTTATCATTTATAATTTTGTAGTCGCATTTAAAAATATATTTAGCTAATTCAATCAATAAAAATTTAATAAATTTCCATATAAGTGTAAGTATTTCGGCACTTTTGTTCCACTTGTCTTGTTGTAATGAAGCAGCTCTGCTTGCTTTGTTGTTTCGGTATGAAGGTGTCTTGTCTATAGACGACGGTAACCATGTTTGCGATTCTAAATTGCATAAAAAAGAGGGTATACTTACAGTAGCATAACATGATAGTCCTCAGTAACAATATATATATTTATTTATTATTATTTTTTATTGGAAATATATATTATATTTATTTTATACATGCAATAAAGTTTTAATCACATAAAAAAATAATGATCAGTCGTATTCATGATCCGTAGGAGACCCGACCCAAAGGTCCCCATGACACTTGCGGCATTTCCACGTTGGATTGCCTTATTTATATTTTATAGATTATTTATTATTATTATTTATATATAAATATATACTAAACAGATAGATTGATCTTTTTTCTTATTCTCAAGTGTTGTTTTTACCTTAAATTGACAGGAAGTATGGTCAAACGAATATCTATTATTATTATATTAGATAACTTCATTCAAGAGATAGGCATTTTAGGTTTATTCACGAGTCCTAATATTGATGTAAATGGTTTAATATCTATAGTATACATATATATACTTTAATAAAAGTTCATTCAAAACACCTTTTTAAAATCTGAATCGAAAAAATAATAGATGTTAGTAGAGTTGTTGGTTACTTATCTAATATTTAATATATAATTATAGAAGTTCGAAAATAATTTCAATTTCTAAATAATGTTAAGTTAGGTTAAGGAAATAAAAAGGAAATAAAAGGGAAATAAAAATTTAAAAAAATTAAAATGGGACCAATACCGTATTAAATACTTTAGACTATAAAAATGGTTATCAAAATTAATTCAGAATTGACTATAATGTCAAGTACATACATACATACATACATATCTGTCACACCTGTCTCCCATTAGGGTAGGCAGAAACAATGGAACGCCAAATGCTTCGATTTAAATAAACCTCTATATCGAGTATTATATATAAATAAAGCAAATTAAAACGCGGTTCTTTTACACGCTTCTTAAAAGTAATAAATTCTACATGCAAGTAGGTAAAATCAATATAAATCATTGTTTTGTACTTTGGCTGTCAATGTTTATTTTAATTCAAACAACAAAAGAATGCCTTTTTTTAATTTGTTTAAAGAGCAGGTAATTTATCTATAAATAATAAGTAAAAGATATCTAATATATGAACGTAAAAGTTACTGATAATTACTGACAATACGATCGCGTGTAACATTTGGATGAACTCAGTTATTAGTCAACGCCGCAGGAGTCGGACGCGTCCGTGACTACAACAAGTGGTCGGCCATTTAATTCTGAGTTTTTGTGCTGTCCATAAAACCGGTAAGTTTTCACTTTCGTTTATATCTAAGCCTTCTATACCTTTAGTGTATCTTAATGTTGTTAAACAGATTCATGGTCGCGAAGAATTCAGAATACAAGTATTATTTGCTTAGTATTTATTAGAACAATTCTACTGACTATAAACAATGCTGTTTTATATATTTTTAAGTTATTTCTAAACTGAGTAGTTTCTCAATTCGCATGTGTATATTAAGCAATAACTTTAAAAGTTATGAACCAATTTTAATAAGTCTTTTTACAATAGATAACCTGAGCGTGCAGTTAATTCGAAAATAGTCGTGCGTGATAAGTTAAGGACAGAGTTCTTTTTTATTATGAGTAACTTTGATTATTGAATCCTTCGGAGGCTTCGGACTGCGCTTGCGCGGTCAGGCTATAATAGTATAATAATTATATGCCTACTTCGGATCGAGTTCCATTTAAATTAGTCACTCTTATGAGAATCTAATACTTTAAGGTACTCAATTCGGTTGTATTTTTTCATGTCTGTTACTCTGTCAATTGGAAAACAATTTGGAAAATTATTTTTTATTTCAAAAACAGGTAGAACCTATAGAGACTGTCAACCGTCTTCAAAAAGAAAAAAGTTCTCAATAGGTTGTATTATTTTTGTTTGTTTTTCATAACTCTGTCAATTGCAAATCAATTTGGAATTTTTTTATCTCAAAAGGATATACTTATAGATTGGCCCCATAGAAAATTTATGAAAATCGGTTCAGTGGTTTAGTTTTAAAGTCGAAATAACTGGTTTTGCCACCATTGAAGTTGGCTTTTGTTTTGTGGAACACAATATTATTAATCTGTCGTATTGTCCTGGTATAGGATGGGTCACCCCTTCCTTTCCAGCGAGTATTGTAAGAGAATGAACTTGAATTGAATGAGGTTTTTCAAAGAGACTACAGCATGGGGTTCACAGAAGGGGTAAAGAGGTTTCTTTAGGGTTGGTTACGTGCATGTAATACCCCTGGTATTGCAGGCGCTCATAGGCTACGGTAATTGCTATCATCAGGTGGGCTGTATGCTTGTTTGGCATCTCAGTAATATACAAACAAACATGCCGCTGCACATGAGCATCTACAACGCCGGAAGAATGGCAGGTGTCCCAGCAGTTTTATTTTAAATAAATATGTTATTTTTGAAGGTATCTACATCGTATATTTTTGAAGGTATCGTATCGGTTTGGAAATTCTGCTGCGCTGAGTTGATTTCAAAACTTGGTTTTGTTATGTTTGAATACGTGAAAATTAATGGTATACTCGTAATTTTATTTCCGAAATTAATTTTCACCCAGCGACCTTGTCTAAGATATCACGTCTAGGCATGCCTATCGGAGTTGGAAGTGAGCCATAAAAATGTTAGTCATTTGTATTCGTTCGTTCGGGCTACTGTTCTACGGGAACGCAGTACGTTCCCGTTTATTATAAATATTTTGTTTCGGTGCTTTCAGTATCTTCCAAAATGAAAGCGGCAGATAGTAAGTATTTTTAATTAGACTTTTAAAACTTATTAATACACTAAGAAATACTCAGAAAGTCCTTTATTTATAAATGTGTATTTTTTGCCGTTAGTAGACGAATAATTTTAAAGAGATAAATTGTTTAAACCACGAGCGCCATCTACGTTGATCTCTATTGGAAGTGATACATGTTATCGGTTTTAATAGAACCTTTGGCGAGTTTTGTCAGTAGTTGCCACGCTTTGCTGATATATCGGTAACCGCAGTTAGGCTTTGGTGACGTTTTAAAAGAGACGCTGCTACCCAATTAAATTCTGTTAGTCGCCTCTTACGATGCTCATAGGAGAGAAAGAGATGGACTATTCTATGCCGAGAGAATACGGCTAGAACGATTAACACTTGATCTATTTTTCTATTATTGACCTTTGATTAATTTCAATTTCCTAGAAATTGAGGCGAAACGAATGTTTGTAGTTTAAAATAGTAGTAGCAGCTCAGATAAAGCTAATTTCAATGTACACTTTTTAATTGTCTATACGAATATGAATCTTAGCATAAAGCAAACATAGTCATAGTCGCTAGTAGGTTGTTAGTCCCTATTACTAACAATCAGGTCGACCTCCACGCGAATCCCCTGGAAACTATCATGGATAATTCTAGTAGAATTGGTCTTGATGGGCTAACTGATCTGGCTTTATCGTCACCTCATCCCTTACTGGTGCCCCTCCAGCGTATACCGAAAGCGCAGGCGGGGTTACCATTTCATTATCACCCATTAAAAAAACAATCCCTTCCTTCACTTAACCGGTTTTATTAAATTTGATAACAATATAAACAATAAGATTTAATACTGTTTATTTTTATTTGAGATATATGAAATTTCGGCTGGAAAATGTTATAACTCATTTTTCTTATTTACCGTTTCGAGATTACTACGATAGGAGATTTATTACCCACTACCTTTTCATAATACATACAAATTCTTAAGGAAAAATATTCCTTTATAAATTATTACATTATTATCCAGCGTAAATAGGATCACGTTCCGTTTTAATCTTTGTCTCTATATTTATTACTACTCCTATATTTAAATTATTGAATATTAAATATTATCATAAGAATAATGTATTGTATTTACATAGATATATAACAATTCTCGTTTTTATTAATATTATAATTAGGAATGCCACTTTGTTTTCTAGTTTTTTACATGAATTTCCAATTGGAATCAAATTTCGTATAAACGTGGTTTTGTGATAGAGTAAGGTGTATTTTTATTTCGATTCATGTATTGTCACTGTATTCCTTTTTAAAAGGTTATTCCTTTTTAAAAGGTCGGCAGCACATTAGCAATTCCTCCGGTATTGCGGGTGCTCATGGGCGGCAGTAGTTACTTACCATTAAGTGAATCGCATGTCCGTTTGCCCCTTGTGTTATAAAAATAAAAAATATAAACTTTCAAATTTTCAGATAAAGAAGTACGTGTAGACGATAACCAATCCGTTTACCCACCGCTCAACGAAGCCGAACAGAGTCTACCTTATATTAATCCACCTCCATATCCTGGTCTACCGCAAGCTCCCTCAGCACCTGGGATTTCACAGGTGACTCCAGAGAGGGCTGCAACTCCAATGCCTGCAACAATTTCAGCAGTCAATCTAGAACAATCGGTGGGCCCAAATCCTACCAGAGTGACATGTAAATCATGCTACCAAAATGTAACGACGAGAATTAGTAGAAACCCGACAATACGCACACATTTAATAGCTTTACTGTTCTGCGTGTTCGGGTAAGTCAACCTAAAAGGAGCTGACATGTTTGTCGAATCTAAACTTTTTGTCATTCATTTTATGGTTTACTTTGATTAAGCGAATAATAAAGTTTTATTACCTTATCATAATTCAGATACAGGTTTGCATTAATGAACATACGAACACATGTTATTGCTCACTACATAGAAAGATATCGTCTTTTCCTTATTAGTTTTACTAAAAACTTGAAGTACTACATTTTAATTAATTTACACTGCAGTAGATACCTATTTATATAAATATTACAATACAATACTTTTCAGGATTACAAGCATAAAAAAATTAATACATCGAAGTAGTTGTAGCTATTTTAGTATAAGTCACAATTTTTTTTTTATTTGTTTGAATCTTAAACGCAGAGTCTTGAAACTTTAGTTCTGGGAAGTGATAAAGTAGTATAAATACCATGTATGGTTATACAACATAATCTGTAACATTTGTGGTGTTATGAAATATTTGATAGTTACATTTAGAAATTTGGGCCACAAAGGACAAAGAATTTTGAGCCTTCTATAAAGTGAGCAGGGCGTTTTTTCATTTTTATCTTTTTACATATGGTCATCAATTTTAATTTCAGTTTTAGTTATGTAGTTCAGTTTTTAACTACAATTTAAACCCATAATAAGGAATTCCAAATTGCTGTATCAATAATTGGAACTACTATGTTTACAGTTTACATATGTACATAAGAACATGCTATTTTATATCTATATTAGCCCCTCAGTGTGTGAGTTCAACATGCGCCTGACTGGTTTTATTTTCACCGTTACACCAGCTCTAAGAAAAAAACAACTACATTCAAAATGTACCTATTCTTCTGTTTAAATACCCTTCTTCTCTATCACGACAGAACTGTTTTTACTAATGTAATTTTATCATTTCAGGTTATGGTTCTGTGCATGTTTACCATACTGTGCGGATTCGTGTTTAAATTTGGATCATTATTGCTCAAAATGTGGCAATTATATAGGTACATATAAGAATTAGGTTGGTAATTGTTTAAGTAATTAATAATAAATTTTAATACTCTCTTTTACTACTAAAATATTGCAAGAGGTGATTAAATCCAATACATTAAATGTAAGAGACGACGGATATAAAATACACAATATTATAATGTATTAGTACTTCTATAATTATTACATTATTAATAGTAATATTTGTGCATTTATTGTTGTAGTGGTGTATAAAACTCTATGCATAATAGATTATTAAATAAATTAAATTATTATTTATATATATAACAAATATGATATATAATTATTATATATATTTTTAAATTTGACTACAACAGGAGAGAGTACCTATTCTATAATATTATAAATTAAATTATTATTTTTATTTATATGAATTAATTTTAATATGTAAGTAATATTATTTTAGGTAATTACTCATTTATTAAAGAGGTATTTTAAAAAGGTCGTTTTTTTTAAATCATATGATTTCAAATATCTAATAAATATTAAATTATACGCAACAGACGATATACCTTTCTTATTAATAATAAGTAATCTGTAAATATACTACATAACATTCACAAAAAATATAGGCGCTATAAATGTGCTATAAAAAGCATATACAATAAGGCGCATTCAGCTATTTATATTCAAATTTTTTTATTTTACTATATATATATATATCACCTGTTAACTGCCCACTGCTGAACATAGGCATTCTCCATTAGGGAGGCTTTGCCAATAGTTGTCATACTTGGTAGGCAGTTTGGTAACCGCAGTTAGGCTTTTGGTGATATTTTAAGTGGGATGCTGCTGCCCATCCCCAATTAAATTCCCTTAGTTGCCTCTTACTACATCCACGGGAAAGGAAGGAGTAGCTCATTCTATCTCAGGACCATATGGCAACGGCATTATGATCCATGTTTCTTTAATAAAAAAGGTTCAATTTCGCTGGTAGAATACTACCATCAAGGGATTATATATATTGATCTAGATTTGTTTAGTGGTAGATAGTGTACAATATAATGGAGCTGGGGGGGGGAAAGGAATTGTTAGCAATGGAGTTTGAAAGCCCCATTGCTAGCATAATGCCCTATTAGGTCGACCTTCACGTGGTTCGTCCCTGGAAACCATCGTGAACAATTCTTGTTGAATTCGTCACGATGGGCTAAGTGACCTGCTTCATCCTCACCTATTATCCTTCACTGGTGCCTCGCCAGTATTTATATTATATAAAGAAATAAATCAATGAATTGATTTTATTGTATATTAAACAATTCATACAATCTGATAAGTAAGTTATAATAAAATACAATCTGAGAGACAATTTTAACTAATTAAACTAAACAAAAGGTCAGTCTGATGCTAAATGATTACGGTACTGTTATGTCCATGGTACTGCTCATGTTTGTAGGCGACGGTTACCACTTTCCATCAGGTGGGTTGTCAGCTTGTTTGCCATTCTAAGTTGTATAAAAAAAAACAGTGGTCTATAAATTGTTTAGCAACAGAGCGTGTTGCCGATTTTCAACTTTAGGCTGAAAACTGAAAATTAAGTGGCCTTTCTTTAAGAAGATTTAGCCTCTAATAAGACCTTGACAAGAAGGAAGAAAAAAGCTTATTTAACAACCTGCGCAGAAGGAAATACCTTTAAAACCGTAATGCATGACCGTTTACATTTTACTGTGTGAGGGGGTAATACCCGTTTATCAATTTTGTAAATGAAGTAGATGATTATACATTTATATCTACTTACCTTCTTGCCTAAATACAAGTATTTTTTTTTATCTCACACATGATACGTATGAGATAAAAAAAATACTTGTTTGAAATTGCTTACACAAAATGGCGTAATTAATATATATAGCTTGATATCTATTTTTATTAAATTCTGACTCATATTTATTCTATAAAAATACAGATAAGATAAATAGATAAATAATCAATATAAATAGATAAATGATCAATATCATTGGATGAGTAATTGAAGTAATCAGCAATCAAGAATTAGGTTGTTCCCAAAAAATTGTTGATAATTTTTAAAATCAGCAGTTGAAGAATTTAATTGATTGATTTTTAATCGACTTTAAAAAGGAGATTTTTAATTTGATTGCATTTTTTTTTGTATTTGTTTCTTCATATTTTATCATTTATAATTTTGTAGTCGCATTTAAAAAATATATTTAGCTAATTCAATCAATAAAAATGTAATAAATTTCCATATAAGTGTAAGTATTTTGGCACTTTTGTCCCACTTGTCTTGTTGTAATGAAGCAGCTCTGCTTGCTTCGTTGTTTCAGTATGAAGGTGTCTTGTCTATAGACGACGGTTACCATGTTTGCGATTCTAAATTGCATAAAAAAGAGGGTATACTTACAGTAGCATAACATGATAGTCCTCAGTAACAATATATATTTATTTATTATTATTTTTTATTGGAAATATATATTATATTTATATAATACATGCAATAAAGTTTTAATCACATAAAAAAATAATGATCAGTCGTATTCATGATCCGTAGGAGACCCGACCCAAAGGTCCCCATGACACTTGCGGCATTTCCACGTTGGATTGCCTTATTTATATTTTATAGATTATTTATTATTATTATTTATATATAAATATATATATAACTAAACAGATAGATTGATCTTTTTTCTTTCTTATTCTCAAGTGTTGTTTTTACCTTAAATTGACAGGAAGTATGGTCAAACGAATATCTATTATTATTATATTAGATAACTTCATTCAAGAGATAGGCATTTTAGGTTTATTCACGAGTCCTAATATTGATGTAAATGGTTTAATATCTATAGTATACATATATATACTTTAATAAAAGTTCATTCAAAACACCTTTTTAAAATCTGAATCGAAAAAATAATAGATGTTAGTAGAGTTGTTGGTTACTTATCTAATATTTAATATATAATTATAGAAGTTCGAAAATAATTTCAATTTCTAAATAATGTTAAGTTAGGTTAAGGAAATAAAAAGGAAATAAAAGGGAAATAAAAATTTAAAAAAATTAAAATGGGACCAATACCGTATTAAATACTTTAGACTATAAAAATGGTTATCAAAATTAATTCAGAATTGACTATAATGTCAAGTACATACATACATACATACATATCTGTCACACCTGTCTCCCATTAGGGTAGGCAGAAACAATGGAACGCCAAATGCTTCGATTTAAATAAACCTCTATATCGAGTATTATATATAAATAAAGCAAATTAAAACGCGGTTCTTTTACACGCTTCTTAAAAGTAATAAATTCTACATGCAAGTAGGTAAAATCAATATAAATCATTGTTTTGTACTTTGGCTGTCAATATACCTACATGTTTATTTTAATTCAAACAACAAAAGAATGCCGGTTTTTAATTTGTTTAAAGAGCAGGTAATTTATCTATAAATAATAAGTGAAAGATATCTAATATATGAACGTAAAAGTTACTGATAATTACTGACAATACGATCGCGTGTAACATTTGGATGAACTCAGTTATTAGTCAACGCCGCAGGAGTCGGACGCGTCCGTGACTACAACAAGTGGTTGGCCATTTAATTCTGAGTTTTTGTGCTGTCCATAAAACCGGTAAGTTTTCACTTTCGTTTATATCTAAGCCTTCTATACCTTTAATGTATCTTAATGTTGTTAAACAGATTCATGGTCGCGAAGAATTCAGAATACGAGTATTATTTGCTTTGGATTTATTAGAACAATTCTACTGACTATAAACAATGCTGTTTTATATATTTTTAAGTTATTTCTAAACTGAGTAGTTTCTCAATTCGCATGTGTATATTAAGCAATAACTTTAAAAGTTATGAACCAATTTTAATAAGTCTTTTTACAATAGATAACCTGAGCGTGCAGTTAATTCGAAAATAGTCGTGCGTGACAAGTTAAGGACAGAGTTCTTTTTTATTATGAGTAACTTTGATTATTGAATCCTTCGGAGGCTTCGGACTGCGCTTGCGCGGTCATGCTATAATAGTATAATAATTATATGCCTACTTCGGATCGAGTTCCATTTAAATTAGTCACTCTTATGAGAATCTAATACTTTAAGGTACTCAATTCGGTTGTATTTTTTCATGTCTGTTACTCTGTCAATTGGAAAACAATTTGGAAAATTATTTTTTATTTCAAAAATAGGTAGAATCTATAGAGACTGTCAACCGTCTTCAAAAAGAAAAAAGTTCTCAATCGGTTGTATTATTTTTGTTTGTTATTCCATAACTCTGTCAATCGCAAATCAATTTGGAAATTTTTTATCTCAAAAGGATATACTTATAGATTGGCCCCTAGGAAATTTATGAAAATCGGTTCAGTGGTTTAGTTTTAAAGTCGAAATAACTGGTTTTGCCACCATTGAAGTTGGCTTTTGTTTTGCGGAACACAATCTTATTAATCTACCGTATCGTCCTGGTACAGGATGGGTCACCCCTTCCTTTCCAGCGAGTGTTGTAAGAGACGACTAAGGGAACTTAATAGTTGAGGGATGGGCAGCAGCGCCCCTCTTCAAATATCACCAAAACCTAATTGCGGTTGTCATCAAGCCTTCTAAGAGTGGCAACAACTGGCAAAACTTCCTTTATGGGGAAGGCTTATGTTCAGCAGTGGACAATTAAGGGCTGACATAAACATAAAAAAAAAAATACAACCGAACCACTTTTTTTGAAGTTGGTTGAAAATAATTTTGCTAGCACTTCTTGCTAGTTAAAACACGAGCAGGACGAAGGTACTTAAGTCAACTTTTGTCCAGACTCATTTTAGTAAGACAATGTATTAGGAATTTCCTTGTTTTCTGAAAATGTTTAAAAATAGGTACTTCAGGATTTATGTAATGCATGATATCATAATAGGTATATTATAATGTATATTTAACCTATCAATTTAGGAATGACTAGTAATTCGCTTTGGTGTCGCATGGGATCGCTATCTATTTAATAGAAAGATAAATTAGTATTTTATATTTTATTAGGCAAATTTTTGATATTTTGGGTTATATTAATGTAATTTCTGTAAGGATTTCTATTCTTTTTTTAAATACTACATGGTCTACGTTACTTTTTGATAATGTAGCTTTCTATAGGTTATAGAATGGATAAATTACAAATAAACACTTAAACATACAAAAAGAGTATAATATATATATAGGTAATAGAAATTGTTATGCCATGTAAATACGAATAGTATTGCCAAACCTAGCAATTATGTTACTGGTAGTGCTAACAAATGATTCATGCACACCATAAAAACGACATAAAAATCCAACTAAAAAATGGCATTGATCGTACAACAATTGATTGAAGATTTGCATCAAGGTTTTATAGAATATTTCCTAGTTTTTTCAGCCGACGAAAGAAAGGAGGTTCTTAGTTTGACGTGTTCAGTTTTTATGTTAAGCAATAAATATGTTAGAATTAAAATATAATAAGTTTCGATTTTTTTTTAATAATGAGTTCAGTTCCGTATTTATAATTTTAAACATAATTGGATTTTTATTAAAATATAATTTTTAATTCTAATGTCTAAGAAATTATTTGTCAAGTAGTTCTAAAAATATTACGAGAAGATTTTGTACAAAAGTCTGCTTGGGGTTTCTGTACCATTCGTGTGTTTGCTTCCAAGCAGTTGTGCATCGCTGCGTGTATGCTTGAAGGCTGGACATATCAGTAAAATTATAGGGTAAGATATACGCCAGAAATCGAGTATCTTAGTCTTTAGAAAATGCAAGGCAATATATGAGGTGAATGTCAAATATAACAGTCTTTTTTTTGTAATTTTTTTAAGGCTGTTTAAAAACTTTGAGATTATGACATAAAGATAGAAGGAAAGTATTTCATTAATCATTGTTTGATGACGGAATTAGACGTTATTTGTCTTATCTGAAACGCAATAGCTGTTTATGGTACAAAATGACTCGTGTGTATTTCAGAAGTAGAGAATATTTTATCTCTGATAACGCAGTCAGTGTAAACTTTATGTTTGATTTACACTTGTAGAACAGATTTCATGGAAATAAATGGTATGTAGGTAGAAACTACTCTATTATCAACGTAAAATTATTTTGACAAAGATATTTCCTGTTTTGTATAAGGGTAATACCATTACAAGCTATTGAGGCAATGCTATCTGCCCCATTGTTTACATTAATAAACGCAATTAGTTGTTTGCGCTGTCTTTCCTTTCCCTTGGTTATTTTTGCATACATGCTGAACTTAGGCTTCGTTAGGAGATCAGAAGTGGTGACATTGTTGCAAAAGATAATTTGTTAGAAACTGCAGATATCTGGTCGTTTACCTCAGAAGAATCAAGGTAAGTCATAGTAATTGCGACATCATTGAATAATGTGTCAATGGCATGTCGCACCGCGCCTACCTTCAAGACATGTACGAGTATATAGGTTGAAACATTACTAGTAATGGAGATCAATGAACCTAGCAATATATCAAGCGAGGTTGACCTTCGCGCGATCTTCCTTGGAATGTCTTCCAGATGGTGGTTTTTTTTATACAACTTAGTAATGGCAAACAAGCTGACGGCCCACCTGATGGAAAGTGGTAACCGTCGCCTATAGACATGAGTAGTACCATGGACATAACACAGTATACTGTTTCGTCCATGATACCCCCCATGCGTTGCCATTCTTGAGGACTCAGGTATTATTCCTCTGTATCCAGTAAATTCACGCCATATCCCACCCTTCAAACCGAAACACAGCCATACAAACACAACTGCTTCACGATTGAAACACGAATGGGACAGAGGTACCCAAGCAATCGACTTTTGTACAAAGTCTCCCTCTGGTGGTTATTATTTAGTAAATTATCCACGGTAGGACTAATGAAAGCCTGACTTTACAATCATTTATCTCCCTCATTAGTGCTTTGACAGTATATACGATAAAGCAAGCGAGGTTACATTTTTATTTTTAAAGAATTAAAAAAGATCGACGTTGCATATCGGTCTTTGCAATTTGGTAGGAACTGTTAAAATGTGTGCTAAAATATGTAATAATTACACAAGGCCGACAGTTGACGTTTTAACTGAGTCATATTTTCTGATATACGACTACACAGTTATACATCGGATATCACTGTTTATCAACATATCGCACACATTCATTCACATCTTTCAAAAAAGCGGTGTAGATATTTAATAAGGTGTGATGTCACCGCGGTAAATACCACGCAGCAGTTCTTTGTGATCTTACGCCTTTTATATTGAAACATCGTTTGGATGCCATTCAATTAGAATTCGAAAAGTATGATATAGATATATAGGCGAGGATGATGTCACGTCCGTTGGTCCATCATGATAAATTTACCAGGAATTAATCATGTTGGTTTCCACAGGTGACCACGTGGAAGTTGATCTGATTGAATAGGTATATAATTAACAATGGGGCCGCTACAACATTATCAGAATTAAAAAATGTTATTCAACGTACCAAAATTTATAGTATATATTATATCTCATAATTGCACATAAATAATGCTATATATTTTTGAGAATGCCATAACGTGAGGAATTATATCTAATATATAAAATTCTCGTGTCACGGTGTTTGTTACCAAACTCCTCCGAAACGGCTTTACCGATATTTATGAAATTTTGTGTGCATCAATATGCAATGGTAGGTCTGAGAATCGGCCAACATCTATTTTTCATACCCATCAATGATAATAGGGTGACCCACCCTACACCACACCACACATTTTTTTTTGTCAATTTTTTTTTATTTTATTATGATTTAGCATTGAAAAATACATACAACTTTAAAGTTTCATCGTTTTACGATAAACCCCTGTATTTTAATCACGATTTTTATATTTCGCAATAAGTGGTAAAATAACGTTTACGGGGTCAGCTAGTTTTACTATGAAAATTATACTATGTATGGTTTTTTGCAATGATTAATTTCAAGGTCTTTTATGATCTCATATTGCTTTAATTTTATTTACTATTACATTTAGTTCACCAAATTGTTAATATTTGTCTGTAGTAGTGTAATTTATCATATAAATAGACTAAACTAAATAGGAATAAGTAGAAGCTTAGTCTAAATCAGCCTAAACATAAAATAGGCGAGCCTTAAATACATATTATATATATAGTAACATGAACTGTATCATGCACAAAATACACTGTGGTGGGTATTACTCTCATCAGCCAATGATGCACCTAATGGGCTACAATTCTTATTCATCGGAATCCTGTAATTTAACTGTCGTATCCAATTTTTTAAAACTGAAAATATCTTGCAAACATAGGTATAGACTGTCTACACCACATGGCATGTCTGTCCAAATTTTTACCTCAATATGTGTGACCATATACAAACGTGGTGCACTGTTTATGTTTGTGAGGAAACTCTTTATTTTCTTTCTGTAATGTTTGTGAAGTTTTAGTAGCGGTTCGGCCAGAGAGTATTGTATTTGTTCGGTTTGATCGAAACTTTGTACATATTTTTATTCACACATTTTTATTTATTTTTTTTGTTTTTGGAAACGCGTGCTATGTTATCGTAGATTATCTATAGTTACTTATAAGCAGAATTAGAGGCAGAATTATCGATGCAGATAATTTTGCAGTTTTCCTCTTTATTCACTTAAAATTTGGTTAAGGATAATTAAAGTTACGACACTTGATGTTTTACTTGCCACACACAAGATGTTTCTTTTCTGTAGAGTAGAATTTTCAAGGTATTGGAATCGTTGAAAATTTGGTAAATTTTTTTTTCTTTTTGTTCCAGGTTCAAAATGAACATTGCACCAGTTGGCCCTAAACCAACTCAATTGATCTGTCCGTCGTGCCATTCGACGATAGTGACTAAAGTTGATCATAAATCAACAACAAAAACACACATAATTGCACTAGTTTTGTGCCTATTTTTGTAAGTACTTTTGCAAAATATGTAGTTCAGTAATGATTGTGTCCCACAAAAAAAAAAAAAAACTGGCTTCACTTGTGACAAAACTCGTTGTTTTGATTTAAAATGAAACTACTGAGCCGATTTTGATAACATTTCTTTGGGATTAATCTATAAAGAACATATGTCCTTTCAGATAAGAAAAAGAAGTTTCCAAGTCGGTTATTAACCGACGGAGTTATGAGGTAACAAACATAATAAAAACACAACTGAATTGAGAATTTACTTCTTTTTGAAGTTGGTTGGAAACAGTGTAGTGATCGGTACTTGTCGAAATAAATCTCGTTGCTTCTTCATCCTACAGTTCTATATGTAAAAGTATATATCTATTGCCTGCTTGCTCCCCGTCAACAGTTACGCTGCCGCCTTGATCCACCCACTGCGCCATCAGCGTAAATCTCATGTCTGACTAACGGCGCCGGTCGTCCTGTCCCAATTTGCTGCCGGGTACGCTTTTGTCGCAAATTAGAAAAGATTCAAGATTGATATACAATAAATATTATAATGAACCTCGTTTCTCCGTATTCAAGCTCTCTTAAAATAGCTCTCTTTAATAATCTTGGAATGCGTGGGTACTTTTCTTAAAATTACTCTTTTTAAGTATTCGATTTTGGAATAATCGACCCGCGCTAAAGTGGCCTTAACTTATTATTTTGTTACTGTCATTTTATTAAAATAGAACCCTTTGCTAACGATAGAATTTGTTTGGTCGAACTCCATGCCATCGTTACTGGAATTTCTAGGTAAAATCATCAAACTGGTTCAATTATTATAAACCAATATCGCTCGTGTGGTTACTATTCCATTTTCACCTTATAAGGGACTTCATATGACTATGATAGACAGATATTAGTTTATAAAAACTTTTAAGAATTACTTATATTTCGATCTACCCTGACTGATCTATGACTGATACACATTATTCTGTCTGCGTCACCAAAATTTATGTCACTAAGTAATTTGTATGCCGTGTAGAATTTAGTACAAAGTGATTATGTAATCATTGATCATTATCTTTATATGCATGCCGACATGCCGACCGTATACCTACTTCATAACAGATTATAAATAGATACGTGTGTTTACTAAGGAATATATAAAGTAGATAGGTATATACACCAAATGAGTATACTTTCTGATAGTTTTATCAAGTGGGATGTGAACCCGCATGTCGCAGCTAGGTCATATGCATTTTTAACTACACCACGGAAGGAATACTATCGGTTGTTCAACTGTTAAGCACCCAGTTGATAGGTATTAATTTGGCGCATATCAATAAAAAAAGGATATACAAAAATAGACTTATACCTAATTAGGAATTATGCGACCAAAATGGACAACACTCAGCTAAGTGTGTAGGTATTTTTTTTAATGGGTGATAATGGAATGGTTGCCTCACCCGTGCTATTGGTATACACCGGCGGGACACCAGTGAAGGATGATAGGTGAGGATGAAGCAGGTCAGTTAGCCCATCGTGACGAATTCATCAAGAATTGTTCACGATGGTTTCCAGGGGGAACCACGTGGAGGTCAACCTGATAGATTGCTAGCAATGTCGAACTCCATTGCTAACAATCCCTTTTCCCCCAGTGTGTAGGTATTCATACATATTGCCTAAACGTTTATTTTCTGTGGAACCAATATGAGGTGTATTACTATTTATAATATATTAATAATTATTATAAATACATAGTAATATGTTTAAATAAATGCTAGTACTGCCGAAAGGAAACATTTTTAACCCATTATTTAGGGTTCCCAAATGAAGGGCTTTTAAACGTATTTTAAAATATTTTTACATACATTTAGAGTTTTGGAGTTATCAATACAACAAAACAAACACGTGCCAAGTAATAACTTTGCTGGGAAACAGATTTTATAAAAAAATTTAAACTACAATCTTGATAATATTTATATGGAACGAATATAGTAGTAAAATTTTTATAAGGTAAAAATAATATCAGTTCAGAATTGATTAACAAAAAAGGTATAACTAACAATTTTCACCATTTGTAGTAACTTATAATGATCGAAATACCATATAAAATTTCTATATTCCGTAATACAATTTCTATGTTATAATATCCCGTGTACAGAAACAATCCTGTTAGGGGCTTAATCACAATAAGTATAGGTATATTTATAAAACATCCGCTAACACCTATTGTGACATTTGTGACCTTGGTTCGTGACCTCAGCGTGAGGCACGGCTAGACGCAACGTGCACCAAAGCAATAGGTTGTGGAACATAACAAAGTGACTGCTGGCTTGTTTTTGGACATTCTTAAGTTTTTATTACTTAATGCGTTTAATATTTCTTTTAGAACGGCTATAAGGTAAAATCAAACGAAATATGAAATTCTTAGCAATAATAAAAAAGCAAAAGTGAATGTACGTATTAAGTTATATTAATATATTGTAATACTGATAACTTATAGACTACATTTTATGTTATAATATGTAACTATTTTATTATTGTGCCAGCCGTTAACTGTCCACCGTTGAATATACTCCCCTTCTCCGTAAGGGGAGTTTTGTCTGTAGTTGCCAAGCTTGCCAGGCGAGTTGGCAACCGCAGTTAGATTTTGGTGATGTTTTAAGAGAGACGTTACTGCCCACGCTTCTATTATTAAATTCCCTTAGGTACCTCTTACAACATTCACAGGAAAGAAAGGGGTGGCCCATTCAAATAAATTTTAAAATATTTTGATTTATAAAATAATTTCTAAAACTAAAAATATTATGTATATTTATTTCACTATATCAATTTATAGTTTTAATTTTTTACTCGTCGCATTGAATGGTCACGATACAAGCTAAGTATGTATGTCAAACGTAACGTGCTTCTAATTGCTGTTGTGCACCAACCCATAACTCCACCTGTTAATTTGCATTTAAAACTATATTATATTATATGAACATTAATATATTAGCAATCATTTCTAAAATGCTCTTAGCAAAATTGGAGCGTGGCCTAATTATTTAGTTCATAGTGAATGAACTTTTTGATTGTTTAATCAAATTGTGAAAAGGCCGTCATGTGGCCTAAGAATTCATATGATATACCTAATTCATAATATAATATAGTAGACATGTATAATATCGGTAAAATTCGATATCGCTCTTGATTTATATTCATTAAGTTGAAGTTCTTAATTTCGTTATTATATATTAAGTAAGCGATATTTACTGTATTCGTTATTAGGCTATTATATAGGTATTGTAACTAAAATATATAGATATTGCCATATATGACCCACCGTTGATCTAAAGATGTTAATATATTTTTAAATTTGTCAAACCGGTTTGGCTGAATATTGAGCTACAAATTTTCAATATATATATATATATATATGGGTATATTATTTTTAGCTGAAAAATCTTACCTAATTTATTTGAATTACACCAATAACTTATTGATGATCCAGATATTAAATGAAACAACTCAAATTGTTTGTCAGATTTTAATAAACTTACTATTTCTTAGACATATTTCAATTGTACAAATACTTAGTACATAATAACGTGTGTCAAATACTTTATTTCAGGTGCTGGCCCTGTGTTTGTGTACCATATTGTACAAACTCGTGCCGTAACGCTGATCACTACTGTCCGAATTGTAACTCTTATTTGGGTACTTACCAGAGTTAATAGATTTAAGTATATTTATTTGTTAATGTGATAATTTATGATAATTCCTAATTTTTAACTGTCAGTATCAATAAATAATGTTTTTTGACTGTGTGGTGATGTATTTGTAAAATTAATTATAAGATCATTAATGTTGTCTATATATACATAATGGGAAATTCACGAACTCACTGTATTTTGTCGTTTCCGACAATTGTTTCTACTTCATCTGGAAGTCTTCTTCAGGGGGTGTTTGAAACTTTACCTCACATCATCTCGCCTCGCACTGCGGGCCGCTGTTCGCATAGCCCGTAATGACGTCGGTGAGAGCGAGGGTAGGGACGGAGACAGCGGTGACCGGAGACAATGGTGTTGTCGGAGATGAGTAGCTGTATCTTGTGTAGTTATCATTAACTATAAAGGACTCTCCTCTTTGCTGCTGCTCTTTTCTAAGTTGTCCAACACAATTTGATACGCAGAGCTCGCTATATCTTCTTTCAGTAATTCATGTAGTAATCTCCGACATTCTTGGAGATACGTTCTCGAGACTTGCGACAAAGTCCACCCTTTGTCTTTATTGAAATTAGGGTGATGACTAATTTCTATTGCTTCACGGATCTTGCGAGGAATAAATAGCTTCTCTTTTGCTAAAATTTGGGTCTTGTTAAAACGTATATAGTGGTTACGCCTGAGGGCAAGCGTCCGTCATAGCGGACTTGTCTGTGTCCACATTCTTCATAGAATGTGTGTGCAGTGTAATGCACTATATACGTTTTGACAAGGTCTAAGTCTGACAACACCATTGTCTCCGGTCACCGTTATCTCCATCCCTACCCTCGCTCTCACCGACGTCATTACGGGCTATGCGAACTGCGGCCCGCAGTGCGAGGCGAGATGATGTGACGTAAAGTTTCAAACGCCCCCTGAAGAAGACTTCCAGATGAAGTCGAAACAATTGTCGGAAACGACAAAATACAGTGAGTTCGTGAATTTCCCATTATATATGTATATAGGCAACAGATAAAAATGAGCAAAGTTTTGAAAATAATACCATTAATGGTCTGTGATGTATCATGCCTTAAAGTGGAAGAAAATTATAGGATTATCAGTTTTAGAAGATATGTAAAATTACAGATTAAAAATGAAGATTTATTGTAAACAAAAATAAAAAGAAATTAGTAAGAGATTACATTTTTTCAATATTAATTAAATATTTTTCAATTATGTCTTTTATTTGTACACTTTACTACATCTTTCTTCGATATTATGAAAGAATACAAATATTTCGAATAAATATATTGTATCTTATAAAATATGTAACTTGTACTAGTCAACTAGGATTTTGTAAAGAAAATCTGATAGCTTGACAATTTTTTTGATTTCAATTTACTAACGAGTTCAAATAGAGTGTGTTTTGATAAATTTTTACAATTAATATTAATAATTGTGAAAATTAATCAAACCACTTAGGTGTTTCTATTTGTATACCTATTTAAAACAAACAGAAACATTATTGCAACTGAGATAAAGCATTGATTTTGAAATAATTGATCGGTTGTTAGAATGATTGAACAAGTATCGACAACTTTGGCAATAAATATATTTTTGATATCTACAAAGAAAAAATGTATGTGTATTTTTCCTCCATTTGTAATTAGAATTTTTATTGTAACTATAAGCTGTATTTTATAAACCTATTTGCATTTATGAGTTAAATAAGTTTATCGTAATTATTAGCTATATCTCGAGACTTTGTGCATGTAAGTTATTATAAGTATAAAGTACCCTATATTTTAATATAGGTGTGGTCTATTTTTGTACCAACTTTCATTTCATATGGTCAGTCGTTTAAGAATGATTGAGTTACAAATATTTAAAATTTCACATTTATAACAAAAATAAGAATGTAATTAATAATAAAGAAATAAAGTTTTTTTTTTGATTCACAAATAATCTTTTTTTGTACCTATTTACTAATCCACTTTTTTAGAGTTCCTAACAAAGAGATACAAAGGGACTATTATGGTGCAATTTTATCCATCCATCCGTCTGTTACAGTACTAAATTTCAGCAACTACTAATACTATCGATTTGAAATTTAGAATACTTTTACATATGGTTGACCACACACGTACGCACGCACGCACGCACGCGCGCGCTCACATACATTTTATTCAAATACTGTTACTAATAAATAAGACGTTAAAACATTTCATGTATATGTTGACATAAATACCAAGAATATCTTAATATATTGTAACATTGACTAATCACTCTAATTGTTCAGGTTTATAAAAAAGTGTATCTAAAAAATTATGAATTTTAGAGCTATCTTTTTTTATACAACTTAGAATGGCAAACAAGCTGATGGTCCACCTGATGGAAAGTGGTAACCGTCGCCTATAGACATGAGCAGTACCATGGACATAACAGAGCATACTGTTTCGTCCATGATACCCCCCATGCGTTGCCATTCCTGAGGACTCAGGTGTTATTCCTCTGTACCCAATAAATTCACGCCATATCCCACCCTTCAAACCGAAACACAGCCATGCAAACACAGCTGCTTTACGGTTGAAACACGAATGGGACAGAGGTACCCAAGCAATTGACTTTTGTACAAAGTCTCCCTCTGGTACAACGGTTTTACTAAACAAATAATTTAAAATTTTGTCTAAGTAGCGTTTAACGTAGTAAACATAAAGGAACAACTTTGCGGAAAAATATCTTTCGTCTGCATAAAAGATTCAAGCTTTCACAGAAGGAATTTAGTAAAATTCATCGAATATTGCTTGAAGAGTCATACAAATTTATAAAACTGCCAATTGCTCTTCATTATTTAAAAAGCTAGATATGTTTAGAGGACAGCTGAATAAAAAAAAAACATTCCGCGTTCAATTAAGTTTATTCAGTCATATTTAATTAATTCTAAATACTAGTGTGTTATAAAAATGAAAATGTGCTTGTTCGTTGTATGTCTTTTTTTCACGTCAAAATAAAGCAACTTATTTTTTTTTTAGATATTTTTTTGGGGACCGAGATAATGATGAATAATGTACGTCTATATAAACTAATATTATAAAGAGGAAAGTTTGATTGTTGAGTTTATGTACCATAGTACATAAACTTAAACTCTACTCAACCAATTTTAAAATTTTTTTCGCCAATACAAAGCTACATAATCAGCGGGTAAATAATATATTATTTTTGGAAATTCTGTCTATACGTTCTAAGGCAGTGTGGATCACTAGTGTAATACTAGTGATTCACACTAAACCAATAGTGTAGTACCAATAAACTAAAATTTAATACATAACCGATTTTGAAAAATACGTATTACAAAATGTATGTTTCACAATTGTATAAATAAAAGTAAACTGCTAAAAGTATGTAAGCGTATCATCTCATATCACTGAACGATTGCACCTATTGTTTAAATTTTTTTTGTTGTTTTTGTAATTGTTAGGACAAAGTTTGTATGAGAGAATAAATGTTTAAAAAATGGCACGGAATGTTAAAAAATCTTCATATAAAAAGTGAGTGAGTGAGGCAGAAGACTAGAGAGATCTTCAAAAATCTTTCTTATATTGATTTAGTTGTATTTTTTTTTATTAATACACGCATGCAAAGCTGGGGCGGGCAGCTAGTTTATAATATTAGAAATAATACTATAACTTTTCTATTTAATTTATGCATGCATATGCAATACTAGTATTGCACATCTAATTTGATGCACTAGCGTCCAGTCGTATTCGTGTAAGCCACAAGACTTTAAATTGGTTAGTGGAAAGTTTGTTCATTGAAGACGGATCGAAACTCTTGCCATACACTATGCTCAAATTACATTATTGCTGGATCAAAGGCAGAATGCATTATGGCTGACATAGCAAATAGCTATCTAAATCGTTTAAGAGAGTTGGATCAGCAGAGAGTTTACTAAATCTTTGGAGGATATTTGTGGAATATTCTCATTAATTTATTATATTCCTATATCTATTTCGGTACCACGACAAGTGCATGGTCTTTTCTCTTTGTGTTGATAGTTCAGGGGTTTTTTTTGATGGGTGAAAATGGAATGGTAACCTCGCCTGCGCTATCGGGATACACTAGCGGAGCATCCAGTCAGGGATGATAGGAGGCAATAAAGTGGCAGATCATAACTGACGGAGTTATGAGGTAACAAACATAAGAGTTTGCTTTCATGTTGTTCTCATATTAATTTTATTACGTTTATAGTAGCCATTTATTAGAACTAGAATCTACCATAAATACCTCGTCATGTGCGTATTTTCGACTTTGGTCGCTTTTCTTTTCGCAATGCAATATGCATTTGTTATTCAAACAAAGTGCGCATGAATCGATTGATTCCTAACGTGCATACTTGCCTGTACAAACAAGGTATATTCATTGCAGGAATAGTAATTGGTAAACTTCATACGAGCATACCATCCATGTAGGTTTGCTTGATGGTATTTTTGAAGGTATTTGCTAAATTGGTTAAGCAACTAGCTCGTCTGTGCTGCAAATAGCTGAACTGAAATTCGTTGCACACAATACCCATTGTTCAAATAAAATTTTATCCGGTTTAAAATTTAGTATTTGGGTAGATAGATAGATACTCTTTATTGTTCTTTCCAAAAGATTACAATACTAAACTTATTATAAATACAAACAATTACATGATCACAGTGAGAAAACAATGGACGGGTTTATTTTTAAAAGCGAACTCTTTTAGGCAACCTATGGATGTAGAGGATAAATAATATATTATTATTATTATTTTATTATTTTTACTTATTATATACTTATTTTTATTTATTGTGCCTTATTGGTGCTTCGTTAGTGCATATCAATAGTGCAGGCGGCGTTAACATTCCATTTTCATCTATCAAAAGACTCATTACAAATGTAAGACATATACTTAGGTAAATGATTATATAACTAATTCTTTATATGTTTACGGGCAATGGATTGTTAATAGAGCGGACTACCAGTCCCATTGCTAGCAACATACCCTGTCAGGTTGACTACTACGATGTCCCTCCTGGAATCCATAGTACTGGAATCCATAGTACTGAATTCCAGGTGTATTCAGCACGATGGGTTAACTGACCTGCTTTTTCATTCCCGTCTATCATCTATCACTGGTGCCCTGCCATTATATACTGCTAGCGCAGGTGGAGTTACCATTTTATTATCATCCATAAAAAAAAACTCTTTATCTGTATTTACAAGTACGTTCAAGTATTTCGTATGTGTAGATGATTTTATGATAATATTTTTCTTGCAACTTTATGTATGTCTGTGATAAAAATAAATACGTGGAATATAACAAGATATCTATCAAGTAAATATATAGGCAGCTGATAATTAATGAACACTGGTATTTTATTATTATTAATAAATTATTACATAATACAAATATTAGGTAGTTATTATGTGCAAGTATTATTACAATGTCCATGTTTTTACACTATAGAAGAATTTTCAGATCAGACATATAATTTTAACCCTCAATTATAGTTGGCCATAATATAATTTCTACCTATCATAGTAATAATATATAGAATATCATTTATACCTAATGTCAATAGACTTCAGTTGCTTGAGGTAAGGTACTTGATTATTGTGAAGCATGGCGTGAAAATCACATTGGCGTGCTCTCTAAACAGGTCCCGGGGCAAATATGTTAATTAGCAAACACGAATATACGAAGAGATAAGTTAAAGCTAGAAAACAAAGTTTGCATAGACATTAATGTAATTAAAATTAAATAGACTCTTATTTTAATAAGATTTGATAGGAACTAAAACTAAAAATAAATATATATCATTATGAAAATTGATTCGCAAATGGTGAGAAAGCCTATTTCCTATTAAGAGATAGTTTTTACAGAAAATTTATTCACATTGAAATTTTCTTTATAAAAATAAAAAAATATATTTTTTATTTATTTTATAGGTACTCATAAATGTGCGAAAATTTAAGACGTCAAGTATACGTTTTTGTAAACGTAGTCAATAAAGAATAAATAAAGGACACAATGTAGTCAGTCACCACACGGAGAATTTTGTCGAATGATACAATCACAGTACACACAAAATACAGGCGAATTGAGAATATAATAATAATAAAAGTATATTTCAAAATATTTTAAATGCATGCATTTTGAAATCTTAAATAATTTACAGAAAAAAATACTGTTTTATACATCTTTAAGTATATTTGCGGAACAGGCAGAGAGAACTGAGCGCCTAAGTACCAACTTATTATTTTAATTTGATATTAATTAAGCTATCGAATATTTTAATGCACAGATTTCACAGATATCTGTTAAGCTGTAAAACAGTCAGTCGGCAACATAAAATCATTGCTCATATCGGTGTTTATACTGTCGGCGTGTGCACGAATAGTTCATTGCTTTCTACAAATGACAATAATTATGTATTCTAATGATATATTTTTTTATTATTATTCCTATCGTGCGTGATAGGCTAATGTTTGGATCGATTGTCAATGACCGTGTGTAATGATACACGGTCCTATAAAATGGTTAAAATCAATTTAAGGGTTAAGCTACTAAGTATAAATCTAGTATCACAGTAATACAATATAATAATTTATATCTTAAAATATGGTCCTGTATCATGTAAGTACCAAACTAGTTTCATACGTCATGAAATGAAATTATTTTTATTTTATAATGGGTATAAATATATGACGTAATTTATTGCAATGAAGTTGGTTAAAAAGAATTCGTTTCATGACTCAGAATGTGTGAAACTTGTCACAAAAATTGTCTAATAGTT